CCTGCTACAAGTAACATAACATCCCCCCATCTTGGCCTAGCACCAACATGTAGGTATGGGTCATATAATGTCCTCCAGTCTTGGACTTGCAACAGCATATAGGGAGGGTAATCATTCATGCATATGTTTAATGGTGTGTGAACATGTTCTAACTTTCACAAATTCCAAAAATAAATGCTTCACCAAAAGCCTCTTTTAACAGCATGTTTCTAGAATGGCGTCTTATCAAAGCAGGGTCAAAGTGCATCCACTGGTTAAAAAAGACAACTACTGATTGAAATTGCAAATACCCCAGGTGGAAGTTCAGACCGTATTTGCATGTGCATTACATTTCCCCCGTAGTATGACAATAGAATAGAAAAATAAGGAAGCATAATGTGCTTTTTTTTGTTGTGTCATCTAGTAAGACTTAGAGCAGTGGTTCTCAGCCATGGATGTGTCGGGGATACCTCGTGGACTGGCCGAAGGCGATGGGGGACCCCTTGTAGCAGAGGGGAGAGAGGGGGATTATGTAGGTAAATTAACACAACTGGAACGTGAAACAGGTGCTTTTTATTGCTACCAAAAATATCAAACACACATGCCACATCACTTCATTTTGGACAGTTCATCAATATGTGGCACAGTCACACCTAAAGAAAATGCTGGTGAGGGGTTTGCGGATCATACAAATGGCTTCACGGACACTAGGGGGTCCGCAGACCCCCATTTGAGAAGCACTGACTTGGAGCATATTGATTTATTTTTAAAGAATACTGTTTGGCTGCTTCAGTTATGCCTCAGTTGCAAATTTTTTACCTTTCAGAACTTTTCACAGAAATTCACAGCAATGCATGATACACATTTTTTTATTAATGAATCTAATGAAAAAGCCCATGTGCAATAATGAATCATATGTCTGTGGCCCAATTTATAAATTTGCAAGAGAAGTTACTGGTGTAGTTTTAATTTCGATATATTGAATAAAAACTAATCAAGTTAGAGAGAAAATAAACATTTATTATGGAAACAGTGTTCCGAGCGATGCCCGGTATCACCCTGAGTTGAGAGGGTTCCCTAGTCCAGAAGTCCTATGGCTTCGACTGCCCTCTTGGCCCTGTGAATGATTTGTCGCTGATCTGGAAGATCAGCGAGCACAAGCTTCACGTCCCATGTTTAGCTTAGGTGGTCGTCGTCCGTTCAACCTGTTTCATTCCGAGTCATCTTCGGTTGCATGTTGCGGCTTGCATGCCACTGGCACTTAAAGAGCAAGTGTGCCAGGGTGTCTGGTATGCCGCAGAGCGGGCACACGTGGCCATGTTTTGTTGGGTACAGGCAGTGCACTAGAGCTCCGTGTGCATATGTATTGCTCTGCAAGCGTTTGAATACCACGCTGTCTTCTTTTGTCAGTTTTGGGCATCGTGGAGGGTGCACTCGTCACTGCAGTTAGTAGTGCTGCAGTAGCGACGGATGAATCTGCTATACAGCCTCCACCTCTTCAGCCACGGGTCAGGTAGCCTGAGGGTCGAGGGAAGCCCAGCTGACGTACCCGAGGGAAGTGGCGTGGGCCGCTTCATTTCTCCGGAGACCCTTGTGTCCTGGCACCCATATTACGCAAGTGAAAGGAAGCGGAGTGCATCGCCATTTTAAGTTATCAAGAGCACTGGCTTAGATGCGGCCCTTCGTGTAATTTCTGCAGGCAGCTTGTGAGCCGGTGAAGATCATCACGGCATCTGTACATGCGATAGAGGCGAGAGCGATTGCCGCTTCTTCCCCTGCATCTGAATTGAGTGCCTTGATCGTGGCCGCTGCCAACTCTTGCCTCAACAGTCTCATACGCTGTCAGCATGTATGGCGTTTTTATGCGAATGCTTGGCTGTGTCAGTGTAGCGGGCATCTGGGTCTTGCTTGAACTTTCGCTCAATGACTCTAGCCTCTCATCGAAAGCAGAATACATGGTATGTTAGATAGACGTGATCAACAGGGACTCTCTAACATCCAGATGGATGTGCTTTTTCTGGTTTGCATCGGTAAAGTAAGTCTTGGTGTAATTGAGGCACATTAGCACTGACCTCCCTGTAGGTGTGAGCTTGAGATGTTCCAACTGGTTGTTTTTATGCGCATCGGTGAGTTCTTGTCATGTGTTGTGGACGCCCATCTTAAGGAGACGTGTAGTAGAAGCCATGACGGGAAGTCCCAGGGAGACCGATTGCCTTTCTTATCGTAATGTTAAGTTTTTATATTTCAGCAGTTTTCAAATTCAGGTATGGTGTGCTGTACGTAAAACAGCTGATAAATATAGCTTGCATAATACGTATCAAGTAGTGTTCCTTGAGACCGTTTTGTTGGTTTGCGATCCTCTTGAAGAGATGCAGGAGTTGTGATCATGTCTGTTCGAGTCTCGGTAAGGTGGCAGCTCCCAATCCATCTTTGTGAATGTGAAGTCCAAGCAATCGTAGAGCCTGAACTTTTGGAATTTATGTCCCATTGAGGGTGAAGCTAGGTTATGGTTCTATGTATACAGGTGGCCTCCTTTCGTTATCGCCTTGAGGACGAAGTGCTTGCACTTTTCCTGGGCACAGTGGAAGCCACAATTTCAGAGATACTTTTAGAAAATATCAACGGCGTCTTGTAGGCAGCTCTCTTTATCTTTCATTGTTCGAAGCCCTGATCAAGAGCATGATGCCATCAGCATACATCGCATGTCGTAGATCTAGTATCTTATTGAGAACTTTTGGCAGATTGATCAAAACTTAAGCCACGATAAAAATTGACGGTGAGACAACCGATCCCTGCAGCGTGGCCTTTTTTTTTTTGGTATTGGAAAGCATTGGCTGCGGATGTTGCAGATGTCCACAGTTGCCGTACGGTCTGTCATAAAAGTTTCTGACGTGCCGTATTTACTCGTGCAATTCTCGCACCCGCTACATTGCCCAACAAAAATAAGATTTTTTTTTCTGTGAGTAATTATCGCATCCCCAAGAAATGCAGCTGTAATGTCGTCAGCTCCTTCCAATCTCTGATGATGATAGTGCACGACAGCCTGGCGCCATCTCTTATGCATTGTGTGTGCTATCAACACACACACCCCAATCTAATACAAGCCAAGTCATGTCAAAGTGGCAAGTGCACGTTGTGGCTTGTTAGTGTATGTTGTGTTCGTTCTGCGATTATGGCAGTTTTCAAGTTGAAAGGGATCACTCATGCACTGAACAATGGCATTGCACTGAACAATGCACTGAACATGCACTGAACAATGGCATTTTTTTTTCTGCAAAAAAAAAAAAAGGTGCGAGGATTATGCGAGTAAATACGGTACTTGTAAAAGTACGATAATTATGCGAGTAAATACGGTACTTGTAGCTCCTGATGCCGCAGCCAATGCCTTTGAGGTTTTTGAGGATTGCATTCTGGCTGAGGTTATTGAAGGCCCCCTTGATGTTGTATACGAGTATGGAGTACTTACAGATGGCGCTTTTTTTTGTTTTGCTTTCAATAATGTTTGTAGATACTCATATGCTTAACTTTAGTTGGAGTTAATGCTCATCTTTAACGTTTAATCTACATCAAACTTCAACTGTCAAAGTTCAAAGTAGGAGATTGATACCTCATCTCTTCTTTGACAGTGCTGTATAAAGGATACAGTAACAAAGCAAAGCACCCTTTATTTTCCTTAATCCACATTATGGTTAAACTGGTGCTACCAATATTGCTTTTAGGGCAAATGCCAGCTCTGTCTCACTTCCAAATTCACAGACATATCTTTACTTAAACTTTATCTGTGAGTGCCTTGAGACAGTACAAACAGGCTTCATAAACCCTCCTCAGCTGAAAACATGTCCTTCTGGCAAGTTTGGCTCCAAGTTGGCTTCATAAGCAAGTCTATACGTGAATAGCCTTGAATCGATTTTAGAAGCAGCACTTTGGTGGTAGGCTACATCTCTGTGGAATGCCACCGAAGTTGCAGCCTCATTAAACGACTATCAGCATTTCATTTTGCATGTAGAGCTTGTGACACAACAATCCAAAACATGCACACATTTTTGTGAGTGCAGAGGCTGTCATTGTGCTACAGAGAACACCCAACGGAAGTGTATGACGAAAATCTCAGGCATCATTTCTTGAATGAATAAATCATGAGCACTTGCTTTCTAATAAAAGTTTATCGTCTTTATTCTTCAAGGAAATGGTTGTGGTGCTACTGGCTTTCTTGCCATTTAAATCTAGCAGTGGAAATGGAGGACTGTTGCTGACAGCAATTCTGCAATCGCTGGTCAGCCTGCTTTTTTGCTGTGCTGGAAAGTTGTCGCTGTTGACTTGCTGTATGTGTCACAAACAAATTTGAAATACAAGCAGTGCTGCAGACGTGTCCATCTCCATTTTTTTTTTTCTGCATACCCCTAGTCTGCTAGAAAGTTTGCTAAAAAGTCTGCTAAAAAGTAGAGTCTATGTGATGATGCTGCATTAGCCCACATTTGGAGTTCTTCCTTAGCTTTACATATTCTGAATATCGAAAACACAGCATTACTGCACAGCAAACATGGCATAATGTTTTCTTGTTAGCTTACTTTTTCTTTTTTCTTTCTGAAAAAAGATATTGCATCTTTGAGTAAGTACTACAATCTCACACCCAGATGCATCGTATTGTGAGCAAGGGTAGACATGAAGGAGGAAGGAGTTCATAGCACATATAAAATGCAGTGGCTAACTAACAAGCTTGAAGTCGCACACAATCTTGAGATGGACTTGACCAAATCAAGTTAAACTTCATGTTAAGGTGCATTTATGAATACAAGAGGAAGCAGTGGACTAAAAGGTGGGATATAAAAGCTTATGATAATGCTTGTTCACATCATTATCTTTATTTAAATTATGAGAGCCCTAGCGTTTTGCATGCATAAAAAATTTTAAAAAGGCAGGCTATTTTTTTCAATGGTTTGGGCAGATATAAAGCACTCCTTCAGTAGCTGTGCACGAAAAATGTAACCTGATGACAAGCAAATGATATGCATAGCACTGACCTGCAGACGAACCCAGCTATCATAGGGCAGTTGTCGTAGGTTCCCCTGCTGTGCACTGATTTTGAAGATGGGCTCATAGCCACCGAGGCTAAGCTCCACAGTGCAGTCGTGTGGGAGAAGAGTCTGGCCAACAGTATTACCCAACGAGAAAAGCAGCAGTGGGAACCAGATGACCAAAATGATGGCAAACAGCATGACTCCACCCAAGCCATACTTGGTGAGTGATGAACGTCGTGAGCCCCGAGGAGTTGGGTACTCTTCCTCAGCTCGTCGCTGACACTTGAGCTGGAACACATTGGCAAATATGTCTTCCATCTTAAGCCAGTTGGTAAGATTCATGCTTGTGTCTGTCCAAATCCAGTCCATGAGGGAACGCAGCTCGTATAAGAAGGGAATCAGCATGTAGCTGCAGAAAACAAAGACAGCAATGCTATAATAGTGTGGTTACTAGGAACAACATTGGCCACCTCTTTTTAGACAGTGAAACAGAAGTAATACACCACATTAAAAAAGGCTTCGAATGCACATCCTGTATACTAATAAAAAAAAAGCGAAATAATGAATTGGGGAGGATGATGGAAACTGCCACCCATATATTAAACAGGGTAGGAGGATCCAGAGAGATGATTCTGCTTGTCTGGGCACCAGCTCACCACGGAGTTGGAAAGAACAAGGTGGCTCATTTGGTCGCCCAAGGTCTCACTTACTGGTCAACCCCTAGAACATCCCAAGTCACCAAAATTACAAACAGAAGATTCCAAGAAATCACTGCACACTACAAACTGAATTGGCAAATATACCTAGGAGCGAACCATGATGATGTGTTACTGCTAATTAAGAAATATACAATTGCATGGCAAAAATTATTGACGTTTTTTTTTTCCCCAAGCTCCGTATACTACCGCAAGTGGCATACAAAAGTGCTCAAGTCGCAGCACAAATTTAGTGATGGGGCCACAAATTCGATCCACGTGGTATAGACATGTCCAACTAAAATGTGACAGCATGCACACCCTAAAACCTTAGGAGGCCATGCTATGCAGCCAAGACACTAATCTCCTTCAGGACATCATAAGTCAAGCCATTGCTACTGCCATATCTCGGGAAATTCTAGCCAATAGCTAGGGGGGGGACGAGGGAGGTGAGCTTTCTTCTCTTTCCTCTCAATAATATGAGGAAACTTAGCTCAATATAAATTTAAGGGCTCTGCAAGCTTATGCGAAAGTGGGAAAAATAATAAATGTACAGGTAAAAACACTGGACTAAAGAAAACCAGCCCATCACTCATTAATACTTTGCATGTTCAAGGATGATAGTCTTGACATTTCACAGTTAAGGTGAATTCCATGCTTATTTATGAAGTTAGAAAGTGCCAAGGCCAAATGTGGCCAGACAGCACCAAGAAATTGGTGGCGAGTCATTACCGAATATGTCAGCTGCAAAGTGTAAACGTGACATACATAGCTGTAAAAGGGCCTAAAACAATTCATTAATCGGGCATTTTATAGCTGAATATCCTAATGTGAATCATAGCTTCTGCTTTTAATTTTGATAATCAGTAAACCAAACCAAAAAAAGGAGTAAAATCATTTCTGTTTTCACACTAGCAGTAGATCAGCAGACTTGCAGAGTGACACACGAAGTGACAAGGTGTCAGTGACAGTGAAAGGAATAAAACGTTAGCACGTAAAAACACTTTTTGAGTTGATACTGCATATCAGTGTTGCAAAATTAATGAAGTTACCATTTACCAAAATTTAGCGTATAATACCGCACAATATTTTTGTGCCGTATCATGAGCCATCAATTTTGCAAAGCTAAGGAAACCACTAAGCACACAACTCACCCGTACACTATACATGACATGAGTAATATTTGTAGATACTTCTGTATAAAACAGCACTTGAAGAATAAAGCAATATATTTCATGGCTTGGCCTTTGTGCACTGGTGGCATATTGAGAAAGTGATTTCTTTTTTCTACAATATTCTGTAACCTTAACTAAGTGACAAATGTGGTGCAATGTGTGTTCATGTTGCCCACAAAAGATAAAAACTACAAGAACAAACTTCGACATAAATTGAAAGACGTGTATACTGCATGTGAGCGAAAATTTCAGCCTCCAAAGTTGAACACTTAAAGGGGCACTGGAACACTTCCAGCATGGTCAGATAAGTAGACCCTTAGCCAATGGCCCTCTTCAAATTTGGTGGAGGGGGGTGTTTTGCTGAAAATAATTAAAATAGGCATTTTCTTAAATAGCTAAGGCCTTCAGCCAGTGGATAAAAATGTGAGCTAAACAGCAGTTTGCAAGGGAATCGGCAGGGGGATGCAAAAGGGGCACCGGCCTCTATCAGGCCCCCACCAGCTCTTGCCTCCTACCAAAGCTACACCGGTGCCCATCCCTACTTCTTCTAGTAGTAGTGCTACACGAGTTTGAATCCACTCAGTAGTAAATACGCCACATCTGAGCATGTGCGGCCCTAGTGATGTGCCTGCCTTGCAATACTGATCCCTGTTTATCACCGCGAATGCAACAACTGCTTTGGCCGTCGTAAGCGCTCTGAGCGGTTTAGCGAAAAAAAAAAATAAGCACGCACATACGCGCGCGCACACGCACACACGTACGCACGCACGCACACACGCGCGCACACACACGCACACACGCGCGCACACACACACACACACACACACACACACACACACACACACACACACACACACACACACACACACACACACACACACACACACACACACACACACACACACACACACACACACACACACACACACACACACACACACACACACACACACACACACAAAGAAGGGAACTGTTCTTGCTGTGATGTGATATGATATATCACGAAGTGAGAATAAGTTTAGAGTATAAAAGGTGCCTATCTGGGCAATAGCCGGTTTCTTCTTTTTTTCTTTCGGTTCTATAATGTTGACAGCGCTTCGAAGGCCAAAGCATTCATCGCGACCCTGGAAATAAAGAAGGGTGGAAACTGCAAGGCAGGCACATCGCTGGCGCTGCGCATGCTTAGATGTAGTGTATTTGCGACTGCAGATATTTCTCGCGCTGTTCTGCGTCCCACCCATCGTTATACCATGAGAGTTGAGCACTGTACATTTATGCACAATATCGTTTTTAATATGTGTCGGTAATTACCAGTGCCTCTTTTCTGTTCTACTGTCACGATCTGAATTTTGCCTCGCATAGAGGTGTGCTTAACAGATACATGCATAAAGAAAAGTTTCCTTTTCTGCTTTTACCTGTGTGCTTGACACAAGCATTATTTAGTCGCAGATGCTCAGTTACAAAACTGATTTTTATTTTATGGCCGATTCTGTCATGGATCACTATCCAAATTGATTTCAAGAGACTACTTGCAAGAAACATTCAACATATCGTCTATGTTTTATTCCTGCTTACCAGCGGGCACAAGTACATCGCGAACTAGTATTAGTGTCATCTCAATTTTTTTGAAGTTTCTTTTCATGAAAACAAAGTGAACTTTACATGGGCAAAATTTCCAGCCTTCTGTGGCCAAAAGATTTCTTTTGCAATCTGCTGCATTTTTCTCACAAAGCAAGATGAACCACAAGTGATGTTGAATAGGACAAATATAACATACAGCTTGACAATGCTAAGGGGCATGTAAGCAGCAAGTACAAAATGCACTGATGCACAGATATATCTACAGGCTAACCTGGCAGAGTTGAGTTCGTTGCTTATGTATTGGAAATAAACTGAATGTTGTTCTTTTTCGGCAGTCTTCACTGACATTAACACTATGGCAGTTCTTTGCAGGATATTGTAATTTATAAAAGTTATACGAAGCATGTACAAATGAGTACTTTCATAAAATTGAACAGAAAAGAAATGAAGGCGAGTCACAATGAATTGCATAAAAAATACACAAGTTCACTACATTGCTATCAATCTAATACTGCGGTGCATAAAGACAGTACACCTAAACATTTTGACATATAATTCAAGTGACCCAAGAGCACTACTTTTCACACCAATTTTCCTTTGAAGAGGTAAATAATTAGATCTACTGAGCTGTCTATCCTCAGAAACATAATGAAAATGTTTTTGCTCTGAATTTCAGTACTTTTGATGCACTGAAGAACAAAGTCCTACCCGATATTCTGTCCTTTTTCATTACTTTTTCATTTTCCTTCAAGCAATAAAAAAGCCCCAAATGTTGAAATTCCAACTAGACCAGCTGTTTGCCATAAGTACCTCAGTGTTAGCATACAACTTATATATAAACTGTCTAAGCAAAGCAATCAAGTGTCAAAATTCTTACCAAGGCATCATACTAGAGCTGTACAGTGCTCATCAATCCTAATGCGATACCAAGCCCACATAGCAGCCAGTGCCTTTTTTTTTTGCATCACCAGTGAGCACTGGCTGCATGCATAGAGGTCAAATGAAGTTGCAATGTTTATTCATTTATATATTTAGAATACTAAAAGCCCATACAGGCTGTTACAGGGTGGAATTTGCACATACATACAATACAGTGAAATCGGTCACTATGAAATACAATGCTCTAGAAAAAATAAACACACAAGCAATAGTAATATTAGCTCACAAAAGATACAACTCCACCTTTCGTTCAAAAGATGCAAAGCTATCAATGCCACCGAAAACTTTCAGAGAAATGCTATTTCATTTGGCTAATGTATGAAACAAGAAATGAATAGTTATACACATCAATTCACGAGCTATAAGAGAGAAATACATGACAGTGATTGGTGCGACGAGAATTTTTTCCAGGTGGGAGCAGATATGATGAGACCAAATTGAATTTACCAGCAGACAGATGATAAAGAATTTGGGATGTGGAACGAAGGCTCTCACTTTTACCACATGCCATCATGAACCCGCAAAATGACTTCCCTATCGAAGTTTATTACCTAACGAGTCAACTGTCACAAAATTTTAGTATCCGTCAGGTATGAGCATAGTTCATTATTATCATCTTCATCAGCCTGACTATGTCCACTGCAGGACAAAGGCCTCTCCCATGTTCCGCCAGTCAACCCGGTCCTGTGCTTGCTGCTGCCAATTTATACCCGCCTATTTCTTAATCTCATCTGCCCACCTAACCTTCTGTCTCCCCCTAACTCGCTTGCCTTCTCTAGAAATACAGTTAGTTACCCTTAATGACCAGCGGTTATCCTGTCTATGCGCTACATACCCGGCCCATGTCCATTTCCTTTTTTTGATTTCAACTATGATATCCTTAACCACGGTTTGCCCCCTAATCCACTCTGCTCTCTTCTTGTCTTTTAAAGTTACACCTACCATTTTCCTTTCCACTGCTCGCTGCGTCGTCCTCTTTCCTCTATTTAAGCTGAACCCTCTTTGTAAGTCTCCAGGTTTCTGCTCCATAGCTAAGTACTGGCAAGATACAGCTGTTATATACTTTCCTCTTGAGGGATAGTGGCAATCTACCTGTCATAATTTGAGAGTGCTTGCCAAATGTGCTCCACCCCATTCTTATTCTTCTAGTTACTTCAATCTCGTGGTTTGGCTCCGCGATTATTACCTGCCCTAAGTAGACAGTCTTTAACAACTTCAAGTTCACTATTACCTATCTCGAAGCGCTGCTCTTTTCCGAGGTTGTTGTACATTACTTTCGTTTTCTGCAGATTAATTTTAAGACCCACTTTTCTGCTCTCCTTGTCTAACTCCGTAATCATGAGTTGCAATTCGTCCCCCAAGTTACTCAGCAATGCAATGACATCGGCGAAGCGCAGGTTACTAAGGTACTCTCCGTTCACTCTTATCCCTAACTGTTCCCATTCTAGGCCTCTGAAAACCTCCTGTAAGCACGCGGTAAACAGCATTGAGGAGATTGTGTACCCCTGCCTTAAACCTTTCTTGATTGGTATTCTATTGCTTTCTTTATGAAGCACTATGGTAGCAGTTGATCCCCTGTAGATTTCTTCCAGGATGTTTAAATATGCTTCGTCGACACCCTGATTCCGCAGTGTCTGCATGACTGCTGATATTTCTACTGAATCAAACGCCTTCTCGTAATTTATGAAGGCTATGTATAGTGGTTGGCTATATTCTGAGCATTTCTCTATTACCTGATTGACAGTATGAATGTGGTCGATGGTTGAGTAGCCTGTTCGAAATACTGCTTGTTCCTTTGGTTGATTGAATTCTAATGTGTTAATTCTGTTAGCAATTGCCTTAGTAAATAGCTTGTATACTATGGAGAGTAAGCTGATCGGCCTGTAAGTCCTTGTCATCTTTCTTATGTATTAGGATGATGTTAGCATTCTTTCAAGATACTGGTACTCTTCCTGTCAGGAGACACCTCGTAAAAAGGGTCGCTAGTTTTTCTAACACAATCTGTGCTCCATCTTTCAGCAGATCTGATGTTACCTGATCCTCACCAGCAGCTTTGCCTCTCTGCATGCTCTCCAAGGCTTTTCTGACTTCTATTATTACTGGTGGGGTGTCATCTGGGTTGCTGCTAGGTAGATATTAAGATCGTGGTTGGGCTGGCTACTGTACAGATCTTTGTAAAACTCCTCCGCTAATTTTACTATCCTATCCATATTGGTAGTTAGTTTGCCTTCCTTGTCTCTTAGTGCATACATCTGGTTTTTGCCTATCCCAAGTTTACTCTTCACTGCTTCGACGCTTCCTCCGCTCTTCAGAGCGTGTTCAATTCTCTCCATGTCGTACCTTTTTACATCGAATACCTTACGCTTATTAATCAACTTTGAAAGTTCCACCAACTCTATTTTGTCTGTTGTACTTGAGGCTTTTATGCTTTGATGCTTCTTAATGAAATTATTCGTTTCCTGGGACAGCTTGCCAGTGTCGTGTCTAACTACTATACCTCCAACTTCCACTGCACACTCCGTAATGATACTCGTCAGATTATTATTCATTGCATGAACACTAAGGCTGGTTTCCTCAATAAGGGCTGAGTACCTGTTATGAAGCAAGGCTCTGAATTCCTGTACATTCCCTCTCCCTCTCAGTGCTAGTTCATTGATTGGCTTCTTGCGTATCAGTTTCTGTCATTCCTTCTTCAAGTCTAGGCGAATTCTGAACCGTACCATTCTATGGTCACTGCATCATACCTTGCCAAGCACTTCCACATCCTGTACGACGCCTGGGTGTGCACTCAGTATAAAGTCAGCAGAGTTAGAGAGATTTAAATCATGCTTTAAGTATGCTCTTTCCTTTCGTCCCAGCGAGAATGCTGAAAGCTGCACTGTAAGGGGGAGTGGGGGGAGGGTCAAGAGCGTTATGTCTTTGACTTCTTTCTTATTTTCTCTGAATGCACACAGCTCATTTGTTCGTACCGCAAAGTGCTGCATCTGGGCACGTTGTGGCACACCGTGGAAGCCATTATACAGCTCACATTGTTCAAATTAGTCAATGGTCACGTCTCCCTGGTATGTGACTCAGTCTATTTGGATATATGGCATCATATTTCAAAAGAAGAGCAAGCAATTTTAGCCGACTGAAATTTAATTATAAATTCCTTGCCACACACTGCACTATAATGTTTGGCTCACATGTCTGCAAGAACCTTGACTACCGATTGGTAGCATTTTCTGACCATGTTGAAAAAGTGTTGCAGTGCACCTTAATTAAGTACCCATTGGTGGCCAAAAATTGCACTGGCTGTCATGTTGGCTGATTGCTACATTTGAAACACTAAGCAGAAAACACACAATTCACATGAAAAAGCAACAGAGATATTTCTTACATTGCCCACAAAACTTCTTGGTACTGAGATTATTAGAATAAGTATGAATGACACTTACCCTTTAAAAAGGAAGTAATTAATGTAGTTGTACTTTTTGCAGAAGAAGTTTCCAAGGATCCGAGTGGGATAGCCAGACCGTATTTGATATGCAGAGAGGATCAGATAAATGCACTTGATGAAATACCACAGTTTTGGTGGCAAATTCTTTTCTTCCACAAAGGATCGCTGAGAAATGCCTGGCAGTACGAAGAACATCCAGATATGGATAACAAATACTATGAACACCTGGAATATCAGCTTGCCCAGGATGTACTTGCGCAAATAAAGCGCCCGGTCGATCACAATAAGAGCAAACTGTGCCAGTAGCATGATCAAGAAAGGCACGGGCACCTGTAAAAAGTACAAGTGATGATGAGAAAAGATTTAATTCTAGGCCCCAGGCTAGCTATACTGTAATATGATTAAGGGTTTCTTAAAAAGCAAGATCTGATGACTTACCTCATTTTTCTGAAAATATGATGCGACACCATCTTCGGACCCTCCAGTCTGGAATAATGCCATGATTACATCAGTGACATATTTTCAAAAACAGTATACCACATAAAAGAACAAAAAAAAAAAGCGAGACTGTTTGAGACCACATGATGACAACCCTAATAAATAAATGAGATCACTTAATACCAAAAAAGCTTCAAATCATATGCCCTAAAGCAACACTGAAATACCAGAATAATCTATGAATGCCAAAGTGAATTAAGTTATGGGGTTTTTAAACACTGGGACACTGCAATTGTAGAACACTCTTGGTTCTTTTTGATAACTCAGAACACAGTACACAATGTGTTTTTGTACTACAGAACAGTTAGAATGTGGTCAACATGCTCAGAAACTGCCACCAGTACTGATCTGCTCTGGCATGTAACTTGGTGGCTCAACCTAGAAAACAGGAACAGAGTGGCCACAGCTCTGTGGAGCTACACAAAGCTTCGGCATGTCAAGTATGTTACATGAATAAAACAAGGAGAATTTTAAAAGCACGACCACTTAAAACTCTCGTCCTTGTGTTCATCCATAGCGGGGGTCTCATTCAGGCAAACTGGATGCCTTAAGGTAGTATGCAAGGGATCAATGGTCGTCTGCAAACTCATAAAAAAACGCACTTCAGATTGGCAGACAAAAAAGTTCCACACTTGCCGTCATGGCTACTAGTGCGCTGACTACCACTACCACGTTTAAATGCACATATGTGCCTCATAAAGTGAAATGGGGGGATGACTGCTGCTGTAGCCAAGGTAGTAGAGCATCAGATGTGTTATTCAAAGGTAGCAGGTAACATCTCCTTACTTTTCAGGGCTTTCTTGTTGGTTCTCATTAAGCACATGTTACATGAAAAACATCTCATTGAACTTTTGGAGGTGTCTTTTTTTCCATAACTTTGATTAATACTCCTCATTCAACATTACACTACCATCACATGTATTTATATCAGCTAGGCTATTTCCTGTCACTTCCTTTTATAAGCCATCATGCAAAGGAGAAATTTATGGTGAGTGATGGATTTGTTCATTGATAAATCACTGAAGAGGGAATGTTGCTAGAGCTAATGTTTCAATAACACGACTTGTCTTTGTCAGGGCAGCCTTCCTTAGAATTGTGTTTACGTGCACGCCTTTTTCACTGTCCCCCAAGCTCAAAAAAGTAAAAGAAAGAGAGAGCTATATAGTTTTAGGTTAAAGAGGTTGGTGTGACCAACAGCAGACTGATGTTACAGAGCAACAAAAAGAATAAAAAGGGATGTGGTGGGGGTAAAAAGGGTGAATGCTGGAACACTTGCGTTATTTGGATATCTATTTTAGTAGAAAGGTAAAGAGATGGAAGGGCTAGCACATAATTCTGACTAGTTCTTCCGTGCAAACGAAATATAAATATAGTGGTGCAAACTTTAACATTACGCTTAATGAGCAAGGCACACAAGGACGGTGCTAGAATTTTTTACTGGGGGGGGGGGGGGGGGGGGGGCACCGTCGACAGAAGAGCTCTTATAGGTGGGCATGGAGGCGGAGAATTTATGTGTCGTGTTTTGACTATGTTTGCTCTTAGGTGGTCAAAGGAGGGGCACACAAAAAATTAGGGGGGGGGGGGGGAGTTCAGACCCCCCCTAAAGATACACAAGCACAGAATGCATCTATTTTGGCTAAACTGTTTTGTTTTTAAGGTATGAAGCCAAGTGGAAAAAGCAATTTTTTTTTTCAAACTGTAATTTCTCAGTTTATAAATATGCTAAATGCCCTATTTATTGCCCATCGTTTTGCTGCACAAACCTTCAGTCTACAAAGTTTCTTTCTAAAGATACAAGCAAAAATGTTCGACTACTCATTGCCGACGACACCAAAACTGAAAGTGCCAATTTTGTGTCACCCATAGCATTAGCTTGATACATAGCATTTTGCTAGTTATTTAGTACTCATATGAAGAGCAAACATGTGATAATGCTTTAAAAACGCTGTAAACATAATCTCACCAGGTCAAAAGTCAATTTTTTCACCAGGTGAACGCATGACGTAATAGATGTGCTTTTCACGCTCAAGGGAACTTATGTGAGTCTATAAATTTGCTTTATTTGATGATGTGCGTGATCTTAGTAATGGCAACATAAGCACGTTTGATATTTTTAAGCAAATTGAGATCAAGCCTGACTCCTACACTGGAAAAGCATGCCTCACAAACGAGCAGCACCAAAGCATGAGAGCACCTCTCCATGTCACTGCTGCTGCAAAACAAGCTCGAAAAAAAAAAGTGTAGTGTTGCCCTAGAGAAGAGGCACACAATAGTAAGGTCCACAATGAAACTGGCTACTAATATTGAGAACTTTAGCCCTCCCAAGTATCTTGTGTAAGCACTATGCCTGTTTAAAATCTGTTTTGTCAATTTTCTCAGAACGTGTATATCTGACATTTTCCCATACACAGTCATAGCTTGTTAGCTAATCAACATTTTTCATCAAAACTTGGCACAGTTTTTTATCACATTATTAGGCATGCAATGAACCTCAATAAGTTTCAGTTTAGGAAAAATATATAAAGTATAGAAAAAATATATAAATGTTATGCCAGTTCTTCAATGTTCTTCAATGTTTCCTACGTAGCACACAACCACTAAAAAAAAAAGGTTTTTTGAAGTACCTTTGAACATTTCTTGTTTTCTAGCAACTTGCCAACCTACCCCCAGAGAAATATCTTGTTCCCAGCACTGATGCTCAACGAACAATAAGATCAAATGCAGGTTCATAATTTACCACTGTACAGAGCTGCTTTTCCCTACAGTGCAGGTAGTGCTGATCAACTAGGAGGCATGAACCAGATAAATGTATTCACTCAATATGACAACCTAGTTGGGCAACTGGACAAAGATACCTCGAGTTTGTTTCTTGTAGGAATATATTATACTGATTTTCTATGTTTTAATTTTGATCATGAAAAAAATCATTAAGAGCTCACAAAAAATTTAGCAATGAATTATATGGGAATTAATTTTTGTAGTGACTCTAACACAAAGTTGAAATAGTTTTTGTGCCTTCTAATAAATGAAATGCTAGCAGTGCCAAAAGGTTCAAATTTTTTTTTATAAGTATGGTTTACGGTGTAGTAGTTCATAAATGTGCATACGTACACCGAATGCCCAGTAGCCGAAGACCATAATGAAGAAGTTGATAAAATCGCAGAAGAACATGTAAGCATACACATCTGTTGTAACTCTGTACACAGGGTGCAGCAGGTTTTCAAAGAAGTTGCGGAATGGTTCCACATAACGAGAAATTCTGGAAAAAAAAAAAGAGAAAACGGTCATGAGGCATTGCAAGTACTCTGTGCTAATGTTTGCAGTAGATTTGCAAGGCTATTCTTGTTTCAGACCATTTGCGCATATAAAGAGGGCGATGATAGAAAATAGAAACCACAAGCACAAGCTACCTTGTGACATTAAAAATTAGTTGACCCTCTATTCTATTCGAAAAATGACCAGAATTCTACAAATGCAGCCAGTTATTCTTTCTACGGTAATAATACTTTGTTCAATATATCAGAAGAAATAAAACATGCATAACTTTTCTTAAAACACAGCACTACACAATATGTTGTTAATCTCTCATTAAGCTGCCAAGTCTCGCATACCAGTAGTTTCCTACAGATGTACTTTATTGCACAATGTACTGATGTTACAAAGAGGAAATGTCCTTGGCACAGAAAGCAAACAAGAGCTCAAAACACACTGCATTGTCATGCTTAGTATAACCTTAAATGGCACTGCCAAGTCCAAGATGAACTATAAGCTTAGGGTTAGAATGAAATGTCCAGGCATGGCATAAAATTTGTTCCATGAAAATGTGGTGTTATCTGCCATATTCCTTTTTATATGCTACAATTACAGTGAGTAGATAGGTCGCAGCCAACATATTAAGCTCAGGAAGTACCCAAGTTCACTAAAAGGTGCCTTGTTAGCACCTTTGTCATTGTTGTCAGCGATGCGGTTTTGAATCACTATGGCCGGACACTTCAGTTGTATTCGAATGTTGAGATAAGCTAAATCAAGAAATAATTGAGGCCTTTCACATAAACAAATGATAACATCATGTTTACAAGTCATCTATCAGTAAACCTCTGAGCTAGGGTTTTTCCACAACTTGTACGTATTAACTTCACTTAGACCTTGAATCTGTTCAGGCCCATGCAATGCAACATACTTTACTTTCATGTTTGGGGTTTTCGATATGATGCATCATCATTCTTGAAGTCACTTCAAAGCACTATCTGATGGTTGATAATGAATTTAAAAGATTACTTTAGAAATAAAATGTCTAATGTGAATTTTTCATTAGAACAAAATTTAGTTGACATGTACATTAGTTGATTAGCAAAAAAATTTATTGTAATAAAATTGAATTACTATTTCATGCGTTTTTAAAAAGCATAGCTCAAATAGCAAACACTACCTGAATTTACATATTCAATGGCCCCCTATGCTCTTTTGGTCAGTTTAGTGTTTCTCAGTCACTTAGTAACGCTCCTATAGTCTTGGTATCAAGGATGTAAAAAAGTAGATGCTTTTGGCTGTTCAGTTCTTTCAGCCTGCTGGCCGATATATTGTTGTGTAAACATTGTCTGTCCAAAAATAAATCTGCATCCCTATTTAAGGTGCAGGGGTGTAGCCACAGGGTGGCACACCGAACCCATGCCCCCCCCCACCCCATTTTGTTTGCAGCGGCATAGAGAGCGAAAAACGACTGTTTCGAGGGGGCGCCTTCCCCAAAATAAAAAAGGTGCCTCTCCACCCCTCTTAAAAAAATTTCTGGCTACGCGCCTACCAAGGTGACAGCACAAATGTCAAAGTCTGAGAACCTACAGAAGTTCGGACACCAGCGTAGTGTGAGGAGCTGTCATAATGGGAGGGTTTTTTAAATGTGCCTGTAAATTTAAATATGCAGGCACTTTTGCATTTTGCTGCTATCAAAGTGCAGCTGACATGACAGAAAATCAAGCAAATGATCGCATGACCACGTGCTAAGCAGTACAATGCCATAGCCTTTAAGCCAACACAGGGGGTGTGTCCAAAAGGACAGACTGACGGGCAGGTTGGTGGGTGCCGTGCAACCTGCTAATGTAAAACGAGAAGTTGGCTTGTCTGTATGGCTTCCAGCGAGTTTTTCTTACGGTATCTTAATAGGCGAAATCTGTGCCCCGATAAAACTTTTGTGCTTTACCATTAATTCATGGCAACATACTGCACCCTAGAAATACGATTATATCTGCAGTAAAGCTTTACAAACGGATATAGGAACTTTTTGCCCTGAACAAAAACAAGCTTTTGAAAACAGTTTTCCTACTTAAAGAAGTCATTAAAAAGTTCATAAGTAAGTCTTAGTTAATTGGATTAATGACAGTCTCACTCAAAAAGCAACAATTATATGGCGCACCGCGTGTGCTCCTTAGTGACCGCAGCAAGACATTTCTTTCAAAAAAAAAATATATATATATATACAGAAGAAAAGAAGAATATCTTCGGTTGCCACAAGGTTATAAATATGAAAGTAGATGTGCTTTCACATAACAACTGTTTATTGTGCCGACGTTTCGACGGGAACCCAGTCTTTTTCAAGGCATAATAATATTTACACATGTTTCGTGTCTTCTTATAGCCTGTCCAGACAGGAGGGAAGGGGTCAAAAGAAAAGTAAAAAAAGAAAAAGAGAGAGAGAGAGAGAGAGAGAAAAAAAGAAGAAGAAACAGCGAAACGGGAGGAGAAACATCAAATAAAATATAAAAAATCTAGGAGAAAAAGCAAGACCGGCACGGCGCAATTAGAAAGAGGCAGCATCTCAACAGAGTAGGGCAGAGGTAGATGAGCAATGTCATCATTGTCCACAATACCTCCCCCGCACCCACTCTTCCCCAAGTGGGCCGCTGGCGGCTCGTTCCTGTTTGAAGTTTAAGACAAGTTAATGGGGAGAGTTTAAGCGCTTCGAGTGCGTGCTGGTGGCGTCGGGAGGAATGAAAAAGCCGGTGATTGAGGTGCCGCCATCGATATTCATTATACGCAAAGGCTCCTTGTCAGTGAAGGAACAGAATGTGCGTTAAAAATTAAAGAAGGAAAAAAAGAACAGGGGGGGGGGGGGGGGAAAGACTGTACGACATCCGGGACAGTCACCACACAGTTGCGGCTCACTGGGAAGACATGCGCGCATGTATAAAAAAGTTAACGAAACCACCTAGCTGTCAGCTCCTTGTCAGTGAAGGAACAGAATGTGCATTAAAACCTGGAAGAAAAAAAAAAAAAGCAGTACGACATCCGGGACCACTTATCTGTGCATTCCAGCTGTGCTTGATGAGGCAAATCATTTCTATGTTGTCAGATGCATAGGCCAAAAGCTTTGTTAGCGGGTAGTATTATTGTCGTAATGAAACCGGACTGATTAGAGAGAAGCGTTTGCGTCTTTTAGCGGTCGTAACGCTGACAGAGTGCCTGGATGTTCATTTATTCCGTATTTTATCCTGTTAAATTTGTAGATAAGATAAGATTCCTGTTGTTCTCGTTCTCTGATTGTTCGGAAGTTGTTTTCTAGTAGTGTAACCCTGATATCATCAAAGCTGTGGTCTTTTAAGGTGCAGTGTTTTGAAAGTGGAAGGCCTGGCAGAGATCGTACATGTGCCCGATGGTTGTTGAATCTAATTCTAAACGGAGTGTCTGTCTGGCCCACGTATTGCTTGTTACATACCCCACATTCCAGGAGGTATATGACGTTGTCTGAGTCACAGTCCAGTGCACCTCTTATCCTGTGCTTAAAATCCGAGTGGGTGCTTTTCGCCACTGTCATTGTCTGCACGTGTTTGCATACCTTGCATCTGCTTTTTCCGCAAGGGTGACACCCAATTTGAGATTTCACACCTATCTTTGAATTTATTAAATGATCCTTTATATTTTTCGGCCGTCTGTATACAACACAAGGAGGAGAAGTGAAAATTTTGGATAGTCGCACGCTCTGTTCCAATATGTTAAAGCGTTTTCTTAGGACCTTGTTTATGTTCGGTGGGTTGCTCGTGAAAGTTAATAGCAGGTTTTTGTTGCGGTGTTGGTCGGTGTTTTTCTGGTGGTTGAGAAGAATCTGGCGGTCCAGATTTTCAGCTTTTTTGATGGCGTCATCGATGATAGCTGGCGGGTATTCTTGATTAAGGAGTACTTCGCGCATATGTGTGCTGTTTTTGTGGAAGTCCTCGGTGCGAGAGCAGATTCGTCGGAATCTGTGTGCTTGGGAATAGGGAATGCTGGTCTTGCAATGTCGCGGGTGGCAGCTTTTGAAGTGCAGGTATTGTTGCCTGTCCATAGGTTTACTGTATACGCTAGTTACCAACACACCATCGTCAACTCGAATGTGTACATCAAGAAAGTTTATTTCAGTGTTAGAGTAGGAGTGTGTAAAATAAATGCTGGGGTGTGCCTGGTTGAATGCCTGTATGAATTTGAGGAGCTCGTTTTCCAAATGTGTCCAAATTATGAATATATCATCTAGGTACCATTTATAGAATAATTGTTTAATATCACAAGATGAAAGAAAATTGGACTCTATGTGGTGCATGAATATGTTAGCGTAGTTTGGGGCCATTCTTGTACCCATTGCCATGCCGCTGATTTGAAGGTAGTACTGGTTGTTCAATTCAAAGCTGTTCAATTCGAGTACAGGTCTTGTGAAGATTTCAATTACTTTTTTGCTTGGATAAGCGACAGGGTTGTGTGTGCCATACGATTCAACAAGCGCCTTTACACCATCGTCATGTGGGATATTTGTGTAGAGTGAGCTAACATCCAATGTTACGAGAAATGCACTGTCTGGAATTTTCACGTCTGCTATTTACCGAAGGAAATGGTTTGTGTCGCGCAAGAAGGACTCATGTGTGGGTGGTATGTCTTTGATTAAAGAATCAATATAACTGGAAATGGGTTCCATTAACGTTCCCGTGCCTGATATAATGGGTCTGCCAGGGTTATTCTCTTTATGAATCTTCGGCAGCATGTAAAAACGACCAGGCGCCGAATGTACCGTAATAAGTGCCTTTTAAGCTTTGAATCAATGGCGCCTTCACGTGTGAGATCCTCCAGGGTTGTTACAATGATCTTTTTGTGCTCCGTGGTAGGGTCAAAGTCGAGGTGTTTGTAGAATTGTTTGTTATTTAGTTGTCGCTTGCCTTCCTCAATGTAGTCCGATCTATTCAGAACAACAATCGCGCCTCCTTTGTCTGCTGGTTTAATGACGAGATCTTCGCAGTTGCTCAACGTGAGTAGTGCATATTTTTCTCTTTTTTATATGTTATTCATGCTTGGTTTGTGCACCTTGTATGCATGTATAACATCTTTTTGAACCACGTCTATGTAGAGATCCAGATGTCGATCTCTGTTGGCGTCTGGGGTCAATTGCCGTTCGATTACCCCAGGAAAAAGTGTGTTATCTTTTTTGGGTTTATCAAAGAAATATTCCTCCAATCGTAAATTTCGTGCGAAGTCGTCTAGGTCTTTTAGGAGCGTGAATTCATCGTACCTTCCGTTGCCAGGGCAGAATGTAAGTCCGCGTGATAGTATACTCAATTCTTTTTTGCTAAGTTATTTATCAGAAAGGTTAATAACATTTGGCTCTTTGGGGTGTGGTGGCAAATTTTTTGAATGCGAGATGGTTTGGTATTTTTTCTGTAAGCAGAAGTGGGTATATCTTGTGACACATTGTCCCGCGCAAATTTCTTTGTCTTAAGTTTTTCAATTTCCTCCGTATTTTTGTGCTCAAATACGTCGAGTTCTTTAGCTTCCCACTCCGAAAGAGAAAAGTTATTTCTTATATACCGCTCCTCGTCTGTCAGTGCACTTAGAGTCTTTCTACAGTGTTGAATGGTGACCTTAGTTAGCTCCTGTGTGGCGTGATCGAGAATTTCGTTCCACCGTTTCATTTCTCCTTCGACAAAGTTATGCGTCGATGGTGTTAGCGACAAGCGCAGCCCCTTCGAAGCCGTACCCACCAGTACATATTGTTCGAGGCTTTGCACGTGAAGTTCGTGCTGTATTCTTTTGTCAATAACTTTTCCAAGTTTAGGAAAATTTGGAACCGTTCTATGGCCTAGTTCATCTGAAACGGACAATGTTTGCCCACCCAATATCGATGGCGGCGCCTCAATCACCGGCTTTTTCATTCATCCCGACGCCACCAGCACGCACTCGAAGCGCTTAAGCTCTCCCCATTAACTTGTCTTAAACTTCAAAGAGGAACGAGCCGCCAGCGGACTACACAGAAAGGTGAAATACAAAAACGGCGGCACACTGCCCACTTGGGGAAGAGTGGGTGTGGGAGAGCTATTTTTGACAATGATGACATTGCTCATCTACCCCTGCCCTACTCTGTTGAGATGCTGCCCCTTTCTAATTACGCCGTGTCGGTCTTGCTTCTTCTCTTAGATTTTCTATATTTTATTTGATGTTTCTCCTCCCGTTTCACTGTTTCTTCTTTTTTTCTTTCTTTCTCTCTTTTCTTTTTTTCTTTTTTTTTACTTTTCTTTTGACCCCTTCCCCCCTGTCTGGACAGGCTATAAGAAGACACGAAACATATGTAAATATTATTATGCCTTGAAAAAGACGGGGATCCCGTCGAAACGTCGGCACAATAAACAGTTATGTGAAAGCGAATCTACTTTCATATATATATATACAGATAGAGAGTAAGTCTTTTCTTTAATACATATACTCACCCATCAAATAGCTTGCTCAGATGAACAAAACTCTCTTCCAAGCCACTCTGCCCAGGTATAACATCTAGTCATATAGAAAGCAAAGAACCATTACACAATGTTCGGCACTCTAGAAGAAGCAATAAATATCTTACTTTAGAATTATATCTTTCGATTGATTGATATGTGGGGTTTAACGTCCCAAAACCACCATATGATTATGAGAGATGCTGTAGTGGAGGGCTCCGGAAATTTAGACCACCTGGGGTTCTTTAACGTGCACCCAAATCTGAGTACACGAGCCTACAGCATTTTTTGCCTCCATAAAAAATGCAGCCGCTGCAGCTGGGATTCGATCCCGTGACCTGCAGGTCAGCAGCCGAGTACCTGAGCCACTGGACCACCGTGGTGGGGCAGAATTTTAGCCTTCAACCACAACACTTTCCAGCAACGTCGTTTTTTTTTCTATACTGGTTGAAAATGCTTTATACTCACCATCATAGCATCTTGACGCTGATGAAGCAGTATCCACTGGTAAAGCTGATATTTCTAGAGTCTGCAATTGATAAAGTTAACCTTATTAGGTGCTACTATTTATACTAATTATGATGATGATATTTGATGTTTTGTGGCGCAAGGGCCATTTCACGGCCAAAGAGCGCCAGTTCATCTTACTAAAAATATGGACAATGATTGTGATATGCGGCTGTATAAGGGCCATAAAATTCCTCGCGGTAAGGCGGGTAAGAACATACAAGTAATAAAATCATGACCATGCCGTGAAAGGTGTGTGTGGTGTGAATAGATGACAAAAGTTGGTGATAATAAAAGACAATGGTGGATATGTATGGCATTAGCACAAGTGACTCACTCGTTCATACCCTTGCGTCCAAGGGCCGTGAGGCAAGTGCTTTCTTGTGTAGCCACCGCAGCAAAAACCTCTCTGGAGAGGTCGTGCTACGGAATGCCCGGGTATATGATATGAAAACTATGAATTTCTTTTAAAAACACTAACAATGATTTATGACTAAAAAGCGGTTCCCTACCGACGAACATTGCAGGGTGTAAAGGTATATGTTGTCGGTAGGGTAATGGAAAATGTTGTTTTCTTAGAGTTTCTAAGTGTTTGCACTGGATTAACATGTGAAGGACTGTTAATGCTTCACCACATCTGTCACACAATGGTGGATCGTCACCAGACAAAAGATAAGTGTGTGTCGCGCATGTGTGTCCTATCCCGAGTCTCGTTAGTATTACCTCTGTATAACGCGATTTCGATACGGGCAGCCAATGACCAAGGTGTGGCTTAATAACGTGTAGTTTGTTTTGTGTGTGTGTATCCCACTTGCTCTGCCAGTATACCCTGAGGTTTTGTTTGAGAGACGGCTTAAGATTAAGGGCCGGGATTGATATGGGTGTAGGGGCAGTGCTTTTGTGGACGGATGCAGCGAGCTGATCCGCCCTCACGTTGCCTTGAATCTCACGGTTCCCTGGCACCTAGCACACTACAACATGTTGTTTGAGTGTGTAGAGTGTGCACAAAATGGAGTAAAGTGAGACAAGGACTGGGTTTTTGTGTTTTTTAAGAGTGTGCAGAGCCGTTACCACACTGAGGGAGTCCGTATAAATTACTGCTTTTTGTATTTGTAATTGCTTGATGTGTTTAGCCACCACAAGTATCGCATAAGCTTCTGCTGTGAAGATACTTGTGCCTGGATGTAGAGGGCCAGCATCCGAAAAGGATGGGCCGACAGCAGCGTAGGACACAGAGGAGTTAGACTTGGAGGCATCTGTAAAGAACTCAGGACGTGTGTATTTGTGTTGAAGTTCCAGGAAGTATGTTCGGATATGGGCAATAGGCGCATGTTTTGTAACTTCTAGAAAAGACACATCGCAGTCTATAGTCTGCCATTGCCACGGTGGCGGGTATGCTACAGGAGCCATTAAACTGTGTTCAAGTGAGACTCCAGTTTCCTCAGCTAGACTCTGCAGGCGAACTGAGAAGGGCTGCCTCATCGAAGGCCTGTTTTGAAACAGAATTGAGCTCGAAAAATCATTAATAGTAGAGTATGAGGGGTGCTTCTTGTCTGCTTTCACCTTAAGGAAATAAACGAAGGACATGTAAGTTCTCTGCAGATGAAGCGACCACTCATTTGACTCAACATAAAGGCTTTCTACGGGGCTGGTGCGAAAAGCACCCGCAGAAAGGCGGATGCCCAAATGGTGCACGAGGTCCAGCATCTTCAAAGCACTTTGAGTCGCAGACTGATAAACAACGGCCCCATAATCTAAGCGGGTGCGAATGAGGCTTCTATATAGGTTCATGAGACATTGCTTTCATGAGACGCCCTTCAGGCGAACTGAGAAGGGCTGCCTCATCGAAGGCCTGTTTTGAAACAGAATAGAGCTCGACAAATCATTAATAGTGGAGTAGGAAGGGTGTTTCTTGTCTGCTTTCACCTTAAGAAAATATACAAAGGACATGTAAGTTCTTTGTAAATGAAGCGACCATTCATTTGACTCAACGTAAAGGCTTTCTACAGGACTGGTGCGAAAAGCACCCGTAGAAAGGCGGATGCCCAAATTGTGCACGGGATCCAGCATCTTCAAAGCACTTTGAGTTGCAGACTGATAAACAACGGCCCCATAATCTAAGCGGGTGCGAATGAGGCTTCTATATAGGTTCATGAGACATTGTTTGTGAAGAACATCTGTATTGTCAAATGTAGCATCTGTTATGAGGCTTCCATCCTGTCAGCATAAGGCTATGTGTGAAAAGGTGTCATCAATGAAGGAGCCTCACTTTTGGTTTGTTAATGAAACCATTAGCTTTTACTTCACTGCACTGAATTAGTGAGAATCAAATGAGATCAGAGCTCCAGAGGTGATGGTAGCAAAGGAGTAAGAAACTTTGGTGGCTGTGTAGTTTTTCACCAAATGCTTGAAACTTTGCTACCACTACAACATTTCAAAGATTATTTTGGTTATATGTTCATTGCAGATGAGCACACATCAGCTACCATTTAAAAAATTTTCATGCTCCCGGTAGCACAGGAACCTTTTTAAGATGACTATTACAGGGGAAAAAAGTACCATATTCATGTAAATATATATGCTAAACAGAGAAGAAAAGTACGCTAATTACAACTGCTGTAGTGCTCCCGATTGTCTTCTACTTTTGCTACATTGTCTAGACAGAACCATTACTTTTGCACTTAAAGGGGCCCTGCAATGGTCAGAAAATGCTGCCGATCGGTAGTACAGGCTCCCGAGAACTTGCGAGCCAAATGCTATAGCGCAGCACGTCACCTGGAATTCACAATAAATTATCAAAGTCAGCTAAAAATTGCTTTCTTTTCCCTTGACAAATGACGGAAGACGCTCAAAAATCACACGCAGATTACCCATCTATCAGCTATTAGCTGATTTGAACATGGCGCGCACGGTTGTTACAGAGATCGCCGCAAGAGGAAGTCGCTTGTCCCCGCGTGCGTGCACGATCACACTGAAAAAGCCCCGTATTCGAAGAAAAAAAAAAAAAGTGCTCAAGATCACGAGGCGCGCGTGAAGTTTTTTTATTTGCCCCTCCCATCCCTCCCTGCTTAGCTTCCAGTGCTTTCATTGGGACGAGAGATGAGAAAATGCGATTGCAGCGTGTGACAAATCTTTAACTCTGCTTGTACTATATGGATTTTTAAAAGTTTTTTGGCATTAAACTGGTGAGTCAATATGCTTTTCCAGTGAATTATTTCTATGGTTACTCAAAAAAGTATTTCAGGGCCCCTTAAAAGCACCCATAAATCACCTCCAATATTTTTTCAAACATTTAATGTAAACACGCGCATCGTGTGGAGAATACCATTGCGATCAATGATACTACACGTGGCAGCGCTACGAGCCACCGGCGTGCCACAAATTCTAAGAAACAATCCCTCCTTCTTTGGGGGCCTTTCGTGCCTCTACGTGACGTGCTCTTCCTATACCTCTGACGCGCCGATCCAAATACGCTGCGATTGGTTGAGCAAAAGCCTATGACTTCCGGTCAGTCTGCAAGCAGCTGTCCACGCTGCTTGTTGTTCGTCGTGTTGCCAGTGTGCGTGCGCCCACTCACAGATCAGCTGCGGAGGTTATCTGGCATGGCGTGTCCTCGTATGGGTCCATCGTGTTGGCGATCTTTTGGAGGTGTGCATTCAATGCAGGGTCCATAATGGTACGATTCGTATAGGCACGGCAGCCGCAGTTCACCAACAAGCACACCACTTTAACGCAACTGATGGAGCTGACCAACGAAGTCGCGGAAACTGGAAGTAGACTGTGTTTTGGGCAGTGCGTCAGCGATGACGTATGCCACACAAGATTGGGATGGGCGCTCGGCGAGCGGGCAAAGCGGCTTTGGGAGAGGATACCATGGAGGGTAGCGCAGGAGAGAGCAAAAAGAGGGCTCATCATGGTTTTGATAGCCAGACACGTCTAGCTCTGCTATTACAGCACCATTTAAAAAAAATTCTAATGGCTCCGTGTTTATCGTACACTCGTGCACAATTTCTCCACAACAGAATTTGGACCTTTGGGTGGTTTACGGGTCCTTTAAGCACTGGCCTTACATTTTGTCTGTTGCACAGTTAGGTGACTATTTGCAAATCATGAACAGAAGACTAGTTTTAATATTTCATGAAACTTACCCCACTGGTACCGGGCTGCTGCTCTGGTGGTACACTGGTGAGTAAACCAGGTGCAGCCGTGGTGTGCTCAGATGCCCGTATAGCTGCTGTGAAGTAGTGTTCGTCATTTGGCACTAATTCTTGCTGCTGAATTGCAGATACACTCACACTTCGATCAGTGTCTTTCCAAAGGCCAAGGCTCTTTAGCATGAAGCGGTGAAAGAAGACCAGCAAAAGCAGAAGCAGGTCATAGAGTGCATAGTCGTTGTCCTCCTTGCGCTTTTCAATGCCCAAGATGCGCGGAGGGTCAAACGGTCTGTTTACAGGTACGGAGTCGTTCCAGTCAAAGAAGTCAAATTGGAATAGGTACTTGACAACCACAATAGCTTCAGTGTAAGTAATGATCGTGATCCAGAAAGTCTTTGTTGGACGTGGCACAGACAAGGAGCCCCACAGGAATGCCATTAAAGGCAATGGCAATGACAGTAGGCTGGCTGACTTCATTTGGTTGAGGACAATGACCAGGTAGCAAACAACTTCCGAGCGTGACACAATGGCATAGTAGCATGCAATCATAAAACGTATTAATGAAGGGTGGTGCTTATGACCATCTTGCTTGTCAAGGCCATCCATCATTTCCAGACTCCCGCTGCAAAAAGAAAAAAAAAAGGTAAATGCCATGTTTGAAAAATAGTGTTTTTAAAATCATTTCAAGGGTTCCTTATAACATTAAAAGAGTACTGACAAAATTTCACTGCCGAGACAGCCTGAGGAATCGATTCTCGTGAACATGCATATATCATTTGCAAAATAATAACAGCGAATATACTTAGAAAGTATTTTACCGCAATTTCAAAGTTGGAATTTTTAAGGTGATGACACCATCGAAAGGGACCCCTTGGGGATCCCCTTACTTCCCTCGTGTCACTATGCTGCAGTCAATAAAACAAGTCATGAAGACTTCATAGCCGCCATTTTCTTTTGCCGCATTTGTTCCAGCAGTCTATACTTTTCGCAGGCTGGTTGCAAGTGCGTGGCCATGGCGCATGCAAGTAAATTTTTGTGTTTCACGACACTGCAGTTTCGTTTCCTATTCGAAAGGACTTTTTGATGTGGACTGTGCGGAAGTACAACACAGTTCTGTGTGCTGACTTAGCCGAGAGCTGCACCCGCTAGGTTGTGATAGTTGCATCCAGTGGCTTGTTTTTGGAGCACTCTCAAACCGAAACTGGTCGATAATGAAGGGCATGTAATTAATTATCTACCCCGTGCTACAGAAAATGATGTGCCGTGTTACGACTACCAAGCTCCCAGCAACACATTGCAGCAAGAAAGGCCAAAGTTTTTGTCAGTACCCCTTATTGTGTGTGCGTGTGTGTATATATTGTGGTGTTGGTCCGGAAAAAGTATGGCTCTGTCCGCTTTTGTGTCGATTACAGAGCGCTCAATAAGATCAGGAAAAAAGACATATCCGTTGCCACGCATAGATGATGCCGTGGACTCCCTACAAGGCGCAGAATATTTCTCCAGCCTCGACCTCTGATCCGGGTATTGGCAAATACGTATGCGCGAAGCAGACAAGGAGAAAACAGCGTTTGCGACGCCTGACGGGCTCTACGAGTTTAACGTCATGCCTTTTGGCTTATGCAATGCTCCAGCAACATTCGAGCGCATGATAGATACTGTCTTACGTGGTCTCAAATGGAAAACCTGTTTATGTTACTTAGACGACATCGTAATTTATTCTTGATTGATATGTGGGGTTTAACGTCCCAACGTAATTTATTCTTCTACTTTTCCTCAGCACCTTAAGCGTTTGGACGAAGTTCTAACGTGCACTTCGAACGCTGGTCTACAGCTCAATACAAAGAAGTGCCACTTCGCCAGCCACTTCAAAGTATTGGGTCACCTTATCAGCAAAGATGGCATTCGACCCGACCCCGACAAAATTGCTGCCGTAATTAGTTTTCCACGTCTGGGCAATCGAAACCAATTGCGAAGTTTCGTGGGCCTGGCGTCTTCCGCCGCTCCATCCATCACTTTGCCGCCATTGCGGGGCCGTTACACAAGCTTCTGACGTCAGGAACGGCTTTCACATGGACTGACGAGTGCGAGTGTGCTTTCCAAGCCTTTAAGCGTGCTCCGACATCAGACCCCGTCCTCCGTCACTTCGATGAGAGTGCACCCACTTTCCTGCACACAGATTGCCAGCGGCCACGGAATCGGTGCTGTCCTCCTCTAGCGCGACGATACATCACGTGAGCGAGTAGTTGCGTATGCTAGCTGCGCACTAACACCTGCGAAACAGAACTACTCGATAACAGAGCAGGAATGTCTCGCTGTCGTTTGGGCCATCTTACAACGTGCACGCACACACACACGCGCACACGCACACACACACACACACACACACACACCTCAAACTGGTTGCTACTAGTGTTATCAATAATGTAATTCGCTTATAAACCACAAAGGCGACAGTACCAGTATCAGTAAACTTCAAGCTTGCTGAAGCTGACAATACTCAAAGACAAATGCTTCTGTACTATTCCTTCTTGACATTTCTCACACACAAAAAAAAACTACTCGGGCACTTTCACACTCAGGGGCGGCACCAGGGGGGGGAAAGGGTGGGCTGGAGCCCCCCCAAAATTCTCGCCTGCCCCCCCTATGCCCACCCAAGTGCCCGGAAGCATATATTGAAAACCTAGTAGGAGCAGAGCTAGCTTGCCCCCCCGGAGGAACTCACTTTTCGTGGTTGCCCCCCCGAGTAAAAACATCCTGGCGCCGCCCCTGTTCACACTACCACCCAGGAACCTTAGAAAATGATTGCATCAAGTATTTTGAAAGAACATTATGCAATAAGAACTAACATAATAGGTATAAATCACTAAGCATGAATGCTTGTGTAAGATGCCATTTCATCGTTTTCTGAAATTCCTAATTCTTACAAACAATGCAGTGCACAGGCACTTATGAGAGATAATCAAAACTAAACTAAGTGCTGAAGTCTCGTGAGAGAGAAAACATTTATTGAGTAAAGCTTGTGAGTGAATGTGGGAGGGTCCTTTTCTCCAGGAACTTTCTGGCCTGGACCCTCTACTGAGCTTGAGCGACGACTTGACTTTGGTCGACCAGGTCCGGCTGGGAGATTGCAGCCTTCCACGCTTCACTTAGGAGGTCTTGGTCAGCATCTGGTGCTGCTGCTTGTAGCCTTGGGACGCTTACTTTGCACTACAGTAGGAGGCGCGCCAGAGCGTCTGCCACATTGTAGTTAGGACAGATGTAGCTATGCAACGTTGGCCTCATATGATGCAACCGTATGCTGTGGGTGAACCTGTTGCTTTGAGGGTGCCTGTAGTCGGTGCCTTCGTCTCTAATGAGTTTTGGATGTGGTGTAGGGTATGACCTGTGTTCAAGCCGATAATGTTGCAGTAATGCACGATACGTTAGTGGTATGGGTTCTGTTGTCTCTGCTTCTGTTGTTGAAGGGAGGTGCCTCGTATCTCGTACGGGGATGCCCGGTTGACGCATTCACAGGCTGCGAGTGTGCCACTTCATTTGCCTCGAGACTTTCGTGAACCGGAACCCACACGATGCATGTATGTGTGGGGGAGGATCATCCATGCGTTTTAGTACCTTATTCGCCACCGTAAAGGCCCTGCCTTTGAGGTTGTTTCGTGCCGCTGTTTGCGAGTCTGTAAAAACCACGATGGGATCCTTACTCATCTGGGTGGCGAGTGCTATAGCAGGCTTTTGAGCTGTTTCCGCATGGTCGGCGAGGATGGTCGCCGATGCCAGTACCGTGACAACCAAAAGCTTTATATAAGGCATGCTTTAGTGGAGGGCTCCAGGCTAATATTGATTTCAGTGGGTTCTTTCACGAGTGCCTAAATCTAAATAAGCCCAAACATTTGTACATTTATCCCCTATCGCCATGTGGCTGTTGAGGCCAGGATCAAAGCTATGGCCTTGAGGTTAACAATGACATCATGCGAGATGAGGACAGATTAGGCCAAAGAAAAACCCAAGTTATAGACAAGATGATAAGACTATCATCAGAGCTCAATAAACAAGTTTCCTACCTGAGCAGCATTTCTTCACTGCCTTTCTTGTCAGACACAGTCTTAGCATGATGACCTTCTGTAGAGTGTCTATAACAAAATCATTCAGTATAAGTAAAATATACAAGAACATTACGGTGATTGGGCAAAGCAAGCTACAAATGTAGATGGTAGAAGCTATAAGTAATGCTGTAACCTGCACAATCAAAATATTTAGACATACAATAAAACATTAAAAATACCTACACTGATTGACTGAACCACTGAAAACATCTTTATTCACACAGAATGTTATTATAACTTATTCCATGTTTAATGTCTTTATCATTGTCTAAAAGATGCCACATATCTCAATTAGGCTACTCTCAAGATTAAAAATAAAATTCTGGTATATTATAGTGCAAAAACAATGCACCCAAACAACTACTATGGAAGCAAAATTTTACATAGCAAAAAACTGATTAACTCAGTAGTGAATAAATTCATAAAAACATAGTTAAGTTTATTAAAGTTATGAGTGAACCCCAAGGGAGGTGTACTTACTCATGGAAGTGGAACTTCCTGCTCTTCATAGTGTGCTCGCCAAGGGTGGTGGCAAGGCCATGGATGAACTGGGAAAGAATATAAAAAAATGCTCGCAAACACAAAATTTTACACAAGATTTTAATGTAAAAATAACATTATACAGTTAAACTTGAATAGATGCAATTCTCTATCGCACACAGTTTTAAAAGCACTTTAACTTTTTCGTTCCCATGCATATCCAAATTTATCACTGGTGATCATTGCTTTGAATCTGACTTTGTCATGCTCAATTTTTGTTTGTCGTGCACCCAGCACATCCTAGTAGTTAATCCAGTCACTGAACTTTCATAATCATTTTGAATTTGCTTATTTTCACAACATAGCAACTTTTTACAGACCTTTGCTTGAACTAATGTGTGTTGTTCAGAAAATGCACTTTGCTGACAAACTTGTCAGAAGTGCGTGTGCGGCTCGTGGTTATGGTAAAGTAACATCAAAGCTCAGTAATCCAAAGAAGCTTTGCCAGTCAAATACCAAATTAAGGTGTCAGCTTCAAAATTTGACAGTGCTGAGTGGTAATAATTGTTTGAAATTTAAGCCAGCTATTCACTAGAGAGCTGGTGCTCCAAGTCGCGGAAGATTTAATCTACAAAAAATTATTTCTGAAGGTCTGCTGCATGCATAAAGTGTGGAGGTGTCTTTTTTAGCCAGTTTTCAGCAGCTTTGGTACTGCTCGTATTGTTATATCAGACACAGGGTTGCACACGGTGTCACTAGTCGCTTCTATGACATCATTGTCACACGTGCATGGGTGGGCTCATGCACCATGAAACACACATGCTGCTTGAAACTATCTTTCAACCGAACCTGAATTGAGTGATGATGAGCTTTGAGTCCAAGATGACAACACTTTAGCCTCAAGCTCTTGTGGCGACGATGTAATCTGTCAGCCTTAGACATCCGCAGACGTTCAGGGGTTGAGTGGTAATAATTGTTTGAAATTTATGCCAGCTATTCACTAGAGAGCTGGTGCTTTAATTCGGGGAAGATTTAATCTACAAAAAATTATTTCTGAAGATCTGCTGCATGCATAAAATGTGGAGGTGTCTTTTTTAGCCAGTTTTCAGCAGCTTTGGTACCGCTCATATTGTTATATCAGACACAGGGTTGCACACGGTGTCACAAGTTGCTTCTATGATCGTCGTCACACGTGCATGGGTGTGCACATGAACCATGAAACACACATGCTGCTTGAAACTATCTTTCAACTGCACCTGAATCGAGTGATGATGAGCTTTGAGTCGAAGATGACAACACTTTAGCCTCAAGCTCTTGTGGCGACGATGTAATCCATCAGCCTTAGAAATCCGCAGACGTTCAGGGGTTGGTTTTGTTTACGGCCATAAGTTGTCTCCTCTGCTGCACGTGTGTACCTGCTGACCTTTGTGCCTCATCTCAGAGCTAATCTGGTCATATGCGAGGTCCACACATATCGCTGGGGTGCTATGTGCTGGCGCCGGCTGCAGAGCTTCTCAAGTTAAGAAGGCCTTTGGAGCACATCTCGGCCCCGCACTATGGAGCGGTGCGAGACGTTTTAGGACTGAACGAGATTTTTTTTTCAAGACTATCTGCAAAAATACAAATAAATATGCTTGGATGCATACGTTGAAATGCCAACGAATGTGGAGAGAGGTGGCTCATGCAAAGAGGTGATCCTAGATGAACTAGTGAAGTTCATTGGATATCTGACTTATAGAGATATTGTTCGTATCGCGAGCACCCATCTATATTAGAACACCTGCAGACTTATTGTAAAATAAAAAGAAAAAGAAGATAAATGTGCACGAGTGAACCTGTACCTCGTGAAAAATGAAGCAATGCTTCACTGCATGGCACGACCAATGAAGCGACCTCTTGGTTTACATTTTCTTTGTATATGTTATTAAAACCACTGTGTAGAACATTCATTATTTTTATACTATTCCTGGGTCACTTATCTTCAAAATGTATATTCTCAAGTTTCTTATGAATGTTTCTTGCATATACAGTGAAGGAAAGTGTGTTTAAGGGCTTGTTTTGCTTAGGCACAATATTGATGAGAACTGACAATCTGTGAGCTCTCATTAATAATGCATAGATAGTGTTTTTATTGCACAGTTAATGTAGTGGCAACCAAATATTACACAATTTTCACACTTTTATTCATTCCAAAATGTTTTTGTTGCTCTACAACTTATATTTTAAAAAATATTACGTTGCACATAATCTCATATGCTGCGATGTGTGCTGGAGCAGTTTTCAAACAGGCAATAAATTTATTGGCGAGACATAAAAAAAACCAATTTCTGTCGGTAACGAAAGAGTTAAACATTACATGCAAAGGTATAACTTGTGCGTACATGTAACTTCTGTTCATATCAACGTTCCATATATTGAACCCTGTGCTCCTGAAATGCGCCGCAAGTGACCAATGCTCACATCATCGGAAATTACCTATAGTGATGGTTCAGTTGTTAGAGTGCCAATCGGCAGTGCAAAAGGACTGTGTTCGATTTCTAGTGATACTGGACACCCAGCAGTGTTTCTAATGGGAACAGAAAGTAGCCTGGCCTAGCCGCCGGTGTTGTGGTTACTCGTTTTTTCATATGGTGGTCTCCTCGTTCTGCTCTCTTTTTTCCACCCACCAAAGACACCAAGTTTTGCTCCCTTTAGGGCTGCTCAAATATGCATTTTTATAATACTCAAGCCACTAATACTACTCGCTGGAAACATTTGCATCAACAAAAAGGCACTGTTTTGGCAGAAGCAGCAAACAAGGAATTGAATCTGTTGGGCAGAGACAGCAGAGCATGCCACGAAGAAAAAAAAAAAAAAGAGTGAAGTGGGTGTGTTGTATAATTAAGAACTTACTTGACCCTTTCGCTATTGAAAAAAAAAAAAGATTATCAAATTTAGAGAAATTTTTGTCCCACAATTTTTAGCATTCATTTTTATGAATAAAGCAGTACCATTCTTTCAATTCAAGGACATTACATAATTTCACTAACTGAGTAAAAAAATGACCTGGATTGTTTCACTGTATGTCAATACAACAAAAGATGGCTTCAACATGAAAGCTGAAATGCAAATGACAACATGGACAGATGTGGGCATCTAATGCCAAGATGCATAATTCTGACGAGTGTAGCATGGCCTCTGAGACTGCACACCGGTGGCCCCCAGAAACCCACCGGCGCACTACCTTGAAGGCCATCAGTGTACTGTAGTCACCATTGGTTTCATGTGGTACCAATTTTTGTTGAGTGTACAGCTGAACCCACTTTTAACAATACTCAAGTGCCACAAAAATTTCATTGTTATAACTGAAAAATGTTTTAAAAGGTTACAAAAAAAAAAGCAAAATAGGCAAGCTGTTGCAAGAAAGCAACAATATTGGATGGGATATGCCAACAGACCTTAGTGACAAAAAATGGCTAAGGTACAGATTTTTCGGACATGTATGACAATTCGGATGCTTTCACGGAACTGCCACCATCCCTACAGGCCAATGTACGACAATGTCTGAAATTTCGGATGCTAAAACTCTTCGAAGGGTCCACTTTTTACTCAAATTTAGAGAAGCCATCACTGCTCATGCGTTGCAGCAAATGTCTAAGTCAGCTTTGCCGCAATGCCACAGGTTTGCAGAGAAGCATACCACAAATCCGAAGGGGCACTGGAGTACGTTAGAGCTGTTCAACAGCTTGAATTCCCGTTTTCTTTTTTTTCAAGGATTTAGCGTTCCATTACATATTGGTGTGGACGCTCAATAGCCAGAATTCATTTTTATTACTAATAATGCGGCACGCGGCCATTGCTGTAAACGGGTTATTTCACGATAAAAAACATACAAAAGTTGACTGTGGTAGTACGCGCGAGGAGCGCAGAGGCAATGAAGAGGAATGGAATAGAATGACGGTAGGGGTTTCGGTAGAGGCAGTGCAGAGGGATGGAAAGGAACACCCTGGCAGCACCTCCTCCTGCACTGTGGCGTGGCGCACGTAGAGTTCACGTAGAGCAGCTCCTCATTATTATATATGATATACTGTTATAACTGCCATTGTAGTAAGTGGGTTTGACTGTAGTTGTTATTGGTCATTTTGGTACGAAATTTCATGACTATACTCGTCAATGGAAGTGAAAAGGCTAAACAAGCTTCAGTGCAACAAAGCTGTGAAATGCAGTGAAAAATACGAGGAAAATTGATTGGCCTGCAGTGAAGCATATTACCTGTCTCTTATAAAGAAAAGGGACAAGCCATGTTCCTTTAAAAACACAAATAGGTTCATGGTTTAAGATCTTTGTTACAAAAGAAAGTATCAACAAAACAGTAAGTAAATCTTTATGCCTTTAGTGCCGCCTTGAAAAATTAATTGCTCAATTCCAACTTTTCACATTTTCAGGCAACTGTCGAAGATAGGTGGAGCTTCAGATAGGCATATTTTACATTTTGAATTGTTGATATGTTGAACTATTTCACAATTTTCTTCAAGACAAAACATCAAAGTGACTATATATTGAACATTTGCCTATTTTAACTCAATTTAAAAAATTAATTTTAAATCAATTTAATCAATTTAAGAAACGGATCATGGCCAGCATAGCGTTAAAAACTAAGACCTCAGTTCTGTCTTTCAGTTTCTTTTCATGGTGGTTTTCTATTAAATTCTGTATAATAGGTTGCAAGAAATGTTGCCTCTGATATTATTTTCATAACAACACAGGGTAAAGGACAAAACTCAAAGAAATGACAGATTTTTCTTAAGCAAAACAATACCATCTAGATTAATTCATTCCCATATTATGATCAGATTAGAAAATTAACGAGCTTAAGTAAAGCCAGCCACCATAATATCAGCTGGGCAGTTTCTTTGCTGGGCTATTGCAAATTCAACTCGAACAATCCCCTTGTGACGTCACATCAAGCATCAAAGTAATACTGTTCATTCAGTAGCTAAGTATACAGCATAAGGTTTCAGTTTCGGAGCAATATTTGAACATTTAAAGTCTCAGAGGAAGATGGTGGCAAATATTGGATGCCACCGTTCATACTGGGTTCCGGAAAAAATGTCCCCGGAAGAAATGTCCCCAGAAGATACGTTCCCTGAATAAATGTCGCCAGAAAAAAAATGTCCCTAGAAAAAATGTCCCCATTTGCAATGTCGAAAAAAACGTCCCCGCAACACAAACATCATCGAATATTGCGCCTTCCGGTCACCAATTCTTTACTTCTCACAGAAAAAAAAACCACGTGTGCAAAGATTGCAGTTTACTGAAAAATTATTGACAAAGCACCATAATGACATAACAACTGCCCCAACTCATCTGTGTGTAATGTCAGATGCAATATTACATACAATGCACATTTCAGAGAAATGCAATCTAGCTATGCCAGTGCCAGAAAAATACATATTGGGGGTGGCAGTTCAGCACCCATCCATTTTAGCAGCTTGGCCGCACCAGCACTCTGCAGTTAAGTGTGCGCTTTCGGGAGCTCAATCGATCCTTGCCTTGCGATTGACTTAATGGTACTACTTATTTGCGAAATGGAGATAATGAAATCGAACAAAGGAGGCAAAAAACTGCGGCTGGGCGGTTATATGTAAAAACAAAAAGGTACTGCCTTGGGTGTCCGCTGGGCGTTGTGCTAAACGTAATGGATGCAAAAGCATTTTAATTACAGAGAAATCCTCAAGCAACGGATTACCACTTAAGCGCTCACCACAACCACCCTACAGATAATGCTGTGATTAATATCAAAAGGATAAGGCAGCAAATGAAAGACACTGAACTTGTCTTGAAATAAAAACCCGCTGCTATTGTCGCAGGTGCTGTCAGAAACCTCAACGAAACAAAATGCCGCATAGGCAGAGAAAAGAGCCTGAAATGCTGCACTCGCCAGCAGCGGAGCAAGATGTATACCTACCGAATTCTGTCAGCCTCAGAGACCTTGTTATTACGGCACCTCGAACTATCGCTTCGGGCGACCATCCAGGGCACTTCCTGTGCTACGGTATTAGCCCAGATACCCAAAAAGACTACTTGTGTTTGCCAGCGCAACGTGCTTGAAGTTATTATCAGAGAGCAGCACCTGGTTTATGGACAGAAACTTCTATCTCACTGAAGGCTGTTGGACACAGGATTTAACTTCATTCATTTTTCAGCACATTCTGAAAATTCGTGAGGTGTTGAATAGATATTGCAGTTTATTCGTTTCTCGGTCAATTTTCACCTGGGGACCTTTTTTCCTAGACAGCTATGCCAGAGGGGCCGTTTTTTGCGGGGACGTATATTCCGGGGAAGTTTTTTCCTACACCTGTTTGTACTAGTACTTTCGATATGGAATAACATAAAATCTGCCGTTCACATAATTTTCGTGCGTAATATTAAGATGAAAATAGCAAAAAGCTATGCAAAATCTGCCAGTTCACATGATCTTCAATTTTGACTGAGGTGCTGCTTTGCCACATTTGCATCAGCAGTGGTGTTAGTTTTCTTGACCTTTACATTCCATAATAACAGACATATCCACAATTACATAATCTTTCATTACTGTTGTTTCCTTATCCCGATTCTAAGGATGTTATCGCAAGCTAATAAACTGAAGTGAAGTGCAGTTTGGGTTAGAGAAATGGAAGTATTTTGTGAATCGACCATGCCTTCCCCTCGTGCCGCACTCCCCAGCTAGCACCCAGGTTGCTCGCTTCCCTCGTTCCTGATAAGAAGGCATCAGTGTGCAGCACACAGCACATCACCTAGCATACATACATCACTGCTCACTAGGTGTGATAATCACTTTGTGTGATAGTGACAGAAAAGCGATGTGTCCCATCTTGGTTGCACTCGTAGTTACCCAACGAGTACACCTTCATAGTGTTTAAATTAAGTATTACATGTGATGGTTAGAGCAGTGGCATTGTGCAAGAGATTCTTCTTCTGTCAAGGCAACAAGCAAAACGCACTATATGTAAGCAGAGACCGCCAACTTGGTGGATTTAGTTCTGTGTAAAGGTACAGCTGAGAGGATTCGCAGAGCAGTTGAACACTTCACCCAGCAAAGCACTAAAAATTCATATTTATGATAGTAATTGTCAACCTTTCATTCTTTCACACTGAGAAGAATGTACAGTTTTTTCCATCTATAAGCTCAACAGATTACAAATGAACAGCACTAATGTGTCAAAAAGAGATTTAAAACCTATTCGTTACATTCTGAGTGAGAGCATAAACAGCAGCAAACTTTCACAGTTGCACATACACGTAGAATGAAGTTAACTATACTTTTTTTCATAATTCTCTTTGGAAGTTTTTTTTTGTTTTCCGACTACTGAATTTATGATATACTCTTCACTACGTTTCAGTTTACATTATTTTTCTCCCTGTTCTCTTTCATCGCTTTTCACAAGACCTGTTTTGATACACTGATTCCTTATTCTACAGATACTTTTTAATTTGGCTTAACACTTTTAAACACCCTGCAAATTTTATATTGTTACATGAGTAATGAGTCGATATATTGCAAATATATTTGCGAAATATATTTGCAGGAGCGGTTGCAGCGCTGGCCAGTCTGGCTCGGATCTCTGCAATAAATGGTTTATCTTTTGTTGCTTGAAACCATAAGAAAAAAAATCTCCAATGCCACTTTTTCTACAACTTATGATTCCTTCAGACACTGCTACTTTCTTAAACTAGCTTTGATGATTTTACCCTTGCCAAGATAGCTGCTTAGGCCTTTCATTCTAGAAGGATTGAAGACTTCCCTGCCCATATTCATCTGTCCTTAATTAGTTACTTGGCAGATAGAGAGTTCAACACTTAAAAAACCCCTGAGCAGAGCTTGACAAGTGCACACACACACAAAAAAAATGTGTGAGACATATGCAACCCTAGCCTAAGTGAAACATTCATTGAATGAGTATAGGGCATAGTCAGGTACTAAAAAATGTTTATGACACCTAGAAGGCTTTCATGTTCTTATGTGTGGTACTATGTCCTATTCATTTGATTGACAGTTATCAAAGTACACTTGTTGATTTTTATATTTGTTGTGGTGTAATGTCCCAAAACCACCATATGATCATGAGAGGTGTTGTACTGGAGTGCTCTGGAAATTTTGACCACCTGGGGTTCTTTAATGTGCACGTAAATCCAAGCACACGGACCACAAGCATTTGCAACTATTGAAAATGTGGCCGCCGTGGCTGGGATTCGATGCCGTGACCTGCGGGTCAAGAGCAGAGTGTCTTGAAAACTAGACCATCGTGACGGGTACTAGTTGATTTTTATTCTGCTATTATGTAATGTGCACCTCACATTGCTGGTAACATAAGCAGAAAATTTTAGTTAATAGTGTGGGCAGTTCAGCATCTCTTGATTATATACATAACCCCAAAAAGATTAACTTCTATGATGCTTAAGGTCTTTTCTCATAAAAAGTGGAATACTTAGTCCTCTGATAGCTTCTACTTAAGGCTCGAGAGTTCATTGACTGCACAACTGTATATATCATGTCTCCATTGAATGACAACTTTCCACAACTTAAGCCCCTACCAAGCCCATGAAACTGTGAGTCGCCCTTGTTTTATGTTCCACTAGTTCAAAAGCTATAGATTACATACAGAGTATATTACAAGAAGCCCACCCTTGGTGAATATTATTATTTTTGAAGTGAACTTTTTATTCTTTTGGCTCATCTTTAAATTATGATAAAATATATTTATATTTATTTCAATTGAAGATAAAATGGTAATGTGTATCCAGTGAATTAATAAAATAAATTTCCATTATTGTTCAATTCATTAACATTAAATTAGAAAAAGGTGCACAGAAGCCAGGTGTCTACCAAGTGTCTACTGCTCTAAAATAGCAATTTTCACAATTGCTCGGCATAAATGGTTTAGTGCTTTCTATTTAGCAGTATACTTGGACATAAAATTGTTCAAGTCCACCGTGGTGGTGTGGCAGTTGCACTACTCGACTGCTTACCCGTAAGTCGCGAGTTCGATAGAGGCGAAATAGTAGAACACGTGTACTGTGTACTCTACCATTTCAATGGAGGCTGGAAGATGGAGCCGAAATGGTAGAGGCCTCTGTGCTATGCGATGTCAGTGCATCCTAAAAAACAACAGATGGTCGAAATTTCTGGAGCCCTCCACTACAGTATCTCTCATAATTATATTGTGGTTTTGGGACATTAAACCCCTAATATTATTAATTGGCCATGAATATAATGCAAGTCTCGTTCACGTGTGCTTGAAACTTTTCCGCTTACGCCAAAAATGAGAAATCTTTGTACAAGCCATTCTTTTTGCACTTTAGAGGCTTCTGTCCACTGTGTGTAAAAATAAAATGTGCATGCATTTTGCCATAAAATTAGTGCATCCTACACTTGTCAGGCATTTACACTTTTTTTTCCTTGAGCCTCCTGTAGTTATTATATTCTATAGTTGCACGAAGATGCCAGCTACTGCTCACCTGAGCCTTTACTATGCGCTTTTCATCAGCAAGCTTGCGTGCCACGTAACGGTAGTCACGAGAGACTGAATTGAGCTTGGCAGTGGCACTGATCAGCATGCTGTCCAGAAGAGCCCAGCCAAATGCCAGAAGGCTGCGTATCCTCTCAGCATATGTGTCCTCTACTGGAGGTTGTTGAGCAGCACCTTCTGGTAGAGCTTCACTTGTTGGCACCTAAAAATGACAACAATGTTGGACAGCTATTCCCTAGAAAGTATGGCCACAGACACACAAACTTGGAAATGACTGAAACATACCAAGATTAAGGGTTGGGCAACAGTACATTCTATGGTTAAGGATAAAGTTATTTTTAATAGAACTGTAGTAAATTTTTCAGATTAAACTCTTCATTATCAAGTTATAAAGTATTATTACATGACAAAACCATGATGAGATTATGAGGCATGGAAACATCCAGGAGGACTCTGGATGAATCCTGACTACCTCAGTTTTTTTTTTTAACCGCATGGAGTTCATGAGAAGGTGAACCTTGCACTTGAAACCTTGGGGAACGTGCTCGGACTGCATCAGCGTTGTACGCATTAGCTCGCCAGTATATTCATTGTGTTTACTTTATTCCCCGTAACATCATGATCAAATAATGGAGGAGCTTCGAAAAAAGAACTTGCTATGAGTTACCTGAAGTGTGAAGAAAATGTGCCTGCAGCGAGCAGCATCACCAACGCCCGCCTCTCTCGGCTTGTGCTTCTGTTCGCTGCTGTGTCGGTCTCTGGACGGTTCTTCACGCTGTTTTTAACAACTACTAAACCTCTTCACAATTGGTGGAGTGTGCTGTTTATCCCCATCGCTACACCCTCGAGCTGCGAAGCCGCACGCTACTGCCCGTCATGACTGACAACGCCAACCCATCGGCGCCTTCGCCCCAGTTCGTCAACTGCCCTGGCCATCCTAGGCTACGGGACCCGAAGGTCTTCAGCGGTGCGGATGGGACCGACGTGGAAGACTGGCTCGAGCACTACGAGCTGGTGAGCGCCAATAATAAGTGGGATGAAGCCGACAAGCTGGGCCACGTCATATTTTATCTCACTGGCATCGCCGAATTGTGGTTTAATAACCACAAACACAACATCCCCACATGAAGCGTCTTCAAGACATCGTGTGCTGAAGTGTTCAGTCGGCCGGCTGTCCGCAAGCAGCGGGCAGAACAGCGCTTGCGCGTTTGCTATCAGCAGACTGGCGAAAACTTTACCAGCTATATTGAGGACATCGTCGACCTTTGTCGACGTGGGAATGACACCATGCCCGAGTCTGACAAGGTCAAACACATCCAAACACACGATGGCGCATTTTCGAGCACAGTTTTTGAAGTCGTCAGCTTGTGTCAGAGTGCGTTGCTTCTTCAACTCGTAGCTCAGACTCAGCAGCCTCAGCGTGGTGGTGAGTCACTTTCTAGTTTTGACACTATGCCTGACAATTCACTATTGCTTCAGAAAGTCCGAGACTTCGTCCGTGAGGAAGTTGCCCACCAACTTTCCTTAGTGCCCTTTACTCACGAGACCACCACCTGTCTACTTGCCCCGCTTCGCACTGCTATTTCGGAAGAAACTGCCCAAGCTGTTCCCCTTGCGCACCACGAGCCGCCTCTATCTAGCCGTGTCCACTGTCCACGTGTCGCGCAGCCGGTAGGCACTACTGTCGCCTATACGCCAGCCGTGCAGCCTGTGGCCGCACCCCTAATGTATGCAGCGCAGCCTGTAGCTCCTTCTGTCGCATGTTCGCCAGAGATACAGCCTGTAGCCGCGCCGCTCACATATGCAGACGCTGTGGGTAGGCTTCCACAACCGCCCCACACAACGCGCTCACAGCCCGCCCACCCGGCTGCTTATATTGCACCTTGGGCGGCACCACCAGTCACCAATCCTTGGAGGACGCCCGATAACCGACCAATTTGTTACATCTGCTTCACTCCTGGACACGTTGCCCGCTACTGCCGTCGTCGACCTCAGACGTTCGGCGACTATGCCCGGTCGTCGCCACCCGGCAGCTAACCCTTCACCCAATATGGGCCGGTCTCGCCACCTCGGTATGCCTCTACTGACCACCTTGACCTCCAGCCGCAGCGCGCATTCTCTACTCGTCAGCGATCGCCCTCCCCCATGCGTCGCCAACCCGGACCCTTCGACCAGGAAAACTAAGCACCGCAGTTCAAGAGGCAAGAACTGCGCCATTTTCGAACTGTCTAAGCCCTCGCTCCTCTCCTGCTAACGTGGTCGCAGTAACTGTTGAAGGTTATTGTACTTTTGCCCTTGTGGACACCGGCGCCGCTGTTTCTGTTATTGCCGCTAATCTGTGCTGTTTATTACGCAAAGTCACAACACCGCTTTCAGGACTGTTGCTCCACACCGCAAGCGCACAGCAAGTAACGCCTGTCGCAGCCTGCACTGCAAGAGTGTCCATCGAAGGCATTTTTTTACATTGTGGAGTTTATTGTCCTCGCTGTCTGTTCGCATGACGTCATCCTCAGATGGGACTTCCTATCCCGCCATAATGCCGTCATCGACTGGGCCAGCGCTGAAGTTGAGTTTTCACCCTTGTGTGATGTCCCATTACTTGACACTCTTCATCAGCTGCCAAAGTTGCTCGTTCATGAAGATACCGATATTCCACCTGGAAATTTCGCACTTGTTCCCGTTTCATGCAGTGCCTACACTGACCCTAGAGTTTTTTTTATGCCTTCCGATATCTTCGCGTATCGTTGAACTCTGCCGCTGCCTTTCGCAACAATTGGCCTTGTCGTCAGAAGAAGCAATATGTTCGTACTCAATCCGCTTTCCACACCTGTCACTTTGCTTGCGGGGGAATGTCTCGGCCGCATGCAGGATCTCGACCCTTCGTCTTTGGCCGATGCCCCGGATGACTACTGCGACCACTCAAAAGCACTGTCGGCACTCGAGGAGTCGTCCAAGGGTACGTTTTCCAGCGCCATCGCCGACACCCTCACTCCCACCAAACATGCCGATCTGCTGGATCTTCTGCACGAGTTCCGGAATCGTTCGATGTGTCAACCTCAACTGGGCCGCACGTCGCAAGTCAAACATCATGTTGACACCGGCCTACACAAGCCACTGCGTCAAAGACCATACCATGTCTACACTGAAGAGCGCCGCGTCATCAACGATCAAGTCGAAGATATGCTTCGTAGAGACATCATTCGACCATCTCACAGTCCCTGGGCGTCTCCTGTCGTCCTGATGTGTAAGAAAGATGGATCTATCCGATTAAGCATGGACTATCCTCGTTTGAATAAGATAACACACAAGGACGTATATCCTTTGCCGGGCATTGATGACGCCATTGACACCCTTCACGGAGCGGAATTCTTCTCGTCGCTAGATTTGCGGTCTGGCTACTGGCAAGTTTCAATGGCTGAAGCCGATCGCCAAAAAACTGCATTTATTACACCTGACGGACTATACGAGTTTAACGTCATGCCCTTTGGGCTTTGTAATGCGCCCGCCACGTTTGAATGACTTATGGATATTATGCTACGTGGCCTCAAGTGGAATATGTGCCTCTGTCACCTCGACGATGTCGTGGTTTTCGCCCATGACTTTCCTACACACCTCCTTCACCTCAGGAACGTTTTGACTTGTCTGATCAATACTAGCCTGCAGCTTGACCTGAAAAAATGCCGCTTCGCTGCACGCGAGCTCGTCATCCTAGGCCACATCGTGTTGAAGCACGGCGTATTACCTGACCCAACAAAACTTCGAGCAGTCGCAGAATTTCCCAAGCCGACGACCATGAAGGAACTTCGGTTTTTGTAGGCCTATGCTCCTATTTTCGGCGCATTGTTCGCAATTTTGCATCCATCATGTCACCATCAACCCTGCTTCTTCGCGGTGACGTGAACCTCTCCTCCTGGTCCCCTGCATGTGACGTTACCTTCACTACTCTGCGCCCTTTGCTCACCTCCCCACCTATCCTTCGCCACTTCGACCTGACGGCTCCTATCGAAGTGCACACCGACACCAGCGGTGTCGGGTTAGACGCTGTCCCCGCTCAACGAAAACCCGGCTATTTATAATAGGTTGTAGCCTACACTAGCCGCACTCTGACAAAAGCCAAAAATAATTACAGCGTGCCGGAAAAGGCTGTTTAGCTCTGGTGTGGGCGCTTGGGAAAGTTCTGGCCGTACTTATACGGCCACCTGTTTGATCTAGTAACTGATAACCACGCACTTTGCTGGCTCTCCACGTTGAAAGACCCTTCTGGCCGCCTTGCGCGATGGGCACTCCGCATCCAGGAGTATGACATTCGTGTCGTATACCGCTGCGGGCGCAAACACTCCAACGCTGACGCCCTGTCCCGCTCACCTTCACCACCAGATCCGACATGCGGAAATACTTGCCTCCAGACCTTGTCATCGCTAAATCTCGACTCGATTCCCAGCGAACAACGTCATGGCCCGTAGATCGCATGTATTCTTGAATACCTATCTACACGCCCAACCTTCTGGTATCTCGATCCCTCCGACATCAAGCTTTCCATTTTGCCATCCGCGATCAACTCCTTCATCGACGCAACTACGCTCCCGATGGCCGCCGGTGGCTACTGGTCATTCTACGCACTTTACGATCGCAAGTATGCGCCTCTCTTCAAGACAATCCACAATGTGGCCACGCCGGAGTGTTCAAAACATATGAACGCCTTCGCAATCACTATTACTGGTGCGGCATGTACAATTTTGTACGCGAATTTGTGCAGTGCTGTCCCGACTGCCAGCGACACAAATCAACACCGCTACGTACGAGTGGCGCATCGCAGCCACTTCCATGCACTGCCAAGCTATTTGATCGCGTTGGCGTTGACCTCTACGGCACCCTTCCATTGACACCAGATGGCAATCGGTGGATTATAGTGGCGGTCGACCATCTAACACGCTACGGCAAAACAGCCGCTTCACTGAGCGCTACTGCTCAGGATGTCGCCTCTTTCATTTTATGTCGCTTTATCCTTCGACATGGATCACCTCGAGAGCTCCTTAGTGACAGAGGCCGCGCTTTCCTCTCCGAGGTCGTCGAAACTCTGCTTTTGGAATGCCACATCATTCAACGGAAAACGACAGCATACCACCCGCAGACTAACGGAATGGTTTAACTGCATGCTGTGTGATATGCTCTCAATGTACGTGGCATCTGATCATAGCAACTGGGAGCATGTTCTCTTATACGTCACGTTTGCATATAACACTGCAATACAAACAACCACGGGATTTTTACCTTTCTCTCTTCTTTATGGACGCGAGCCTTCCCATACAATCTATACCCTACTTCCCTACCGTCCTGATGCTTCCGAATGTCCACCTCTCTCCGATGTTGCTCGACAGGCCAATGAGTGCCGCTAGCTCACCCGTATGTTCCCATCCGACGAGCAGCAACGTCAGAAAGAACATCGTAGCACCGCCCTTTTATATCCCAGCTATGCCCCAGGGTCTCTTGTGTGGCTCGCCATCCCATACCAAACTGCGGGACTCTCCTCGAAACTTGTCCCCTGGTACGAGGGGCCTTACACCGTTTTGAAGAAATCCTCTCAGGTTAATTTCCTAATTGAGCCAGTTTCCCGATCGAACGACATGCGCCGGCGTGCAAGTGACATCGTCCATGTTTCTCGACTGAAACCATACCACGAGCCCCTGCCTGAAACTTTTTAAGTCGCCAGGACGGCTCATTTTTCAGCGGAGGCAATTGTGAAGAAGAAGATGTGCCTGCAGCAAGCAGAATCGCCAATGCCCGGCTCTCTCAGCTCATGCTTCGGTTCGCTGCTGTGCCAGTCTCTGGACGGTTCTTCACGCTGTCTCGCCGCTGTCCTTAACGACTAATAAACCTCTTCACACATGTAACAGGTAAAACTTCAATAATTATTGATCCATCTCCAAGTGTAATAAATCTGCAAGCTCATATGTACCGCAAGTCACATTTTTGAGATGTACAAAATACGCATCTTTAGTACAAGCACTTAACAAGGACACTTTCAGAATAAATGCTGGTCACAAATCAGTGGGACAGAAGTGTCTATCAAAAGTATTGCTTGAGTAGTGGCAGGTAGAGAAGCCTCTATAGTGAAATGGGCCAACTTCTAATGAATTTGTATGCAGCAAAAAATGACACTATTACAGAGCCCTGTCTGTGCCATAGTACAAGAACAAAATGTCCAGAATAGCATTTCACTGTTCAACTTGCCACTTACAAATTCTCTTGCAGTAGCTTTGCACAACAGCCTTTCCAAACCAAACATAAAAATGAACTAACAGTGTTAACAGTATTTATGTAAAAACAGCAACAATTTGCGAGTGTGAATATCACAATAGTTCCCTCAGCTTTAAGCATATTAAATGTGCTAGAAGCCAGGAGACTAACCTGTACGGGTTCTTCAGATTGTGCAGACTTGGAAGCACTAGAAGGTGCAATGATGGGAGCAGCAGCAGCAGCAGCAGGAGCAGCACTAGAAGCAGCAGAGGTGGGTGCAGCGGGGAGTGCAGCAGCCTCACCCTCATGACCAGGATCCTCTGGGAGGATTGCCTCATCAGCACTTGTGGAAGGCAAGTCGCTTGCACTTGGCAGAGGTCTGCTAGATGATTTTGACGGCTGTGGATACAGTAAAGATTGTCAACAAACACATCCTTATAAGGAGAGCCTTTGAAGCCCAGATGACTAAGAAACATGTGCTGCAAAAGCACCGAGTATCTACAAAGGCAAGTCAGAAATTATCTACACTTTTGTCATAACTTTTCTTGATACTGCACAGCTTGGCTTCTGTCCTCACATATTGAATTGTTATACTGTTGCGGTAAGCTGTGAAAGTATGACCTTAATTTATCCATTTTTTCTTCTTTCCATAGCCGATATATCCCGGCTGCTCCATCGGAGGTTTGCACCAAAAAAGAAGAACAAGCAGTGATCAGTTTCCTGTGGTTGGAGAGTGTCAAAGGTTCAGACATTCATTGCACACAATTCTTTTAATAAGATGTGTACTACAGTTAAGCCTGCTTATAATGAACCTCGATATAATAAATTCTTCGATATAACACAGTCTTTCTATACCCACCGTTCTAACCTCTATATAATAAAGTAATAGTGGAAGACATCCTTCATACAACGAATTTTCGTCACAAAAAATTCAGAAATTTGGCCACAGATTTTGCAATTTTGGCCCGAGCATGCATTTTCCCCTGTTGCCCCGCTGCTGATGAAGCGCGAAGTGGCTGCAGCGCGCACGGTGCACTCGTAGCTCGTATGCACTCGTGGCCCCAGCACGGCCCTTTGCGAGCAAGGAGGTGGAGGTTTAGTGCAATAAAAACATAGAACTTTCGTAGCAACATCTTTCTGCAGAGAATGTGCTAAGATTCTCACGAGCAAATGATTCTGTAACAACAACATTTAAAAATGAAAGAATTGACTTTCTGTCAAACAAGTGATCGATACCTAATGATAATATGGGGCAAAGAGGGATGCGCTCCTGATAAGCTTAAAAAAATTTATTTTTTAGATTCCGCCTCTCGGCACTGTAGAAGTTCATGAAGTAGGCTCAGTGCTTCCCTACACGGGGTTTTACCCACCACTCTGTAGGTAACTATGGGTGCCATAGGTGTATCCCATTCTCATCATGCTTGTGATGCACTACAGGTTAAGGAAGAAAACCAGAGACGACACAGAGAAACTTTTTTTTTCCTTACCCTGAAGAGCATCACAAGCATGAAAACACACCAGCCAGCCCCCATTGCCCCCTTATTAGCCTATTCTCAGTCTAAAAAACAGGACTTCACTTTCTCTGGATTTCAAGGTGGAAGCCTAGTTACATAATCGTGGCTTGATAGTGAGAAGTTGATTGTTCATATCCATTACAGGTAACTTCAGTGAGAAGTTTTCAGCTTTTCAAGAAACTGATGTCACGAGCTAGTCAGCCAGCACTTTGCCTTCTATTTCACGGTGCCCTGGCACCCAACACACTTCGACATGCTGTTCAGCAGTGTACATGACACACAAGAAAGTACAGCAACATCACTGGATTTTTGTGAATCTTGGAAGTTTTTAGAACCTTAGCAATACTCAAAGAGTATGTTTACGTAACTGTTCTAGGTATTTTAGAATCGTTCATGTGCTTAACGGCTGTCAAAATTGCATGAGCCTTGGCCTTTAACATGCTTGTTTGAGAATGCAGCACTCCTGTGTCCAAAAAAAAAATGGTCCAATCACAGCATACGAGACTGAGAATTCCCAACAAACGCAACAAGCAATTCGCCACAAATGCCGAGGTGTGTTGTTGAAGAAAGCTTTGTTGTTGTATGACATTACACGCCCACAGACGGCTGTAATCATACCATTGAAACCATCAACTAGACAAAATTTGAGTTGTTGGAACACCCGCCCTACAACCCAGACCTAGCCTCATGCGACTTATGCTTGTTTGGGCCACTCGAGGATGTTCTACATGGTCAATTTTGACGTGCAAAATGCAGTGCAAAAGCGGTTTCACGACCAACAAGAAACTTTCATTTTTAAAAGAATATATAAGTTACCGTAGTGCCAAGTGCATTGATAAAGAGAGAGATTACATATAAAAATTATGCGAATAGTATAACCCCAGCTTCACATCAATAAACTGTAGAACAAAAAGTGTAGATAGTTCTTGACGCCCTCATAAATGTAGTAAACTGCAAGACAGTCATATCACCCTGGCACTGAGTTCAGATCTCTTGCATGACAAAGGCAGCACGTGGTTGCCAGACAGCATTCCACATGTTGTGGAAAAGTGTTCTTTACAGACATCATCCTGAAATATGCAAGTAACTGCTGCAATGAAGTGATATGAAATACAATAACTAAGTGCCTTGATTATGTATGATGAAGTCCACAGTGCTCCTGAAACAGCAAAAAGTGTCACGTCTCCTATACTTTCCTTGGCCTTATTTTCTGTTTGTTCTTATTAAATTTGTGTCCAGCAAAAAAAAGGAGCCCTCGAAATTACCCTTCTTTTGTTCAAAGAGTGTAGTAGCAGCTTAAGTGAATGATTTCAGTTCTCACAAACTACCTGAAATTACTTTACAGCTATCTGCCTTATTTAGCCCAGACAAGCTTACAGTATGCGATAATTGAACTCATTCTATAGTACTGAACTACTTCCCTTGTTCTGCAGTTGGTCATTCGATGTGAATTCGCGATTCTTTAAAAAGAAATTGTAAGCATTAGTGAACCAATCATACATTTATTTCTTAATTAAAAATAATGAACAATCATTTTGTTTTAGGTGGTGCAATCTCTTGTTGCATCGCTGTGGAGGGGGGAAGAATTGGTTGTGTGGCTTGAGGAGGGTGAGCATGGGGGTGGGGGACACATGCCCTTTTTGCACCTTCCTGCAGACGCTCATGTTAATAATCATTACAAACAACCCTTGGTTTATAAGGTACCTTCATAAAAAAAAATAAACATGTAGGAATGTAAAACCTCGTTAATTCAAAGTCACTGGTACCATGAGAAATCTACGAATTAAGTGGGTATTCGAATTAACAGAACATACAAAAAGTGGAATGCAAGAAATTTAAAATAATTCGAAGTATCAGGGTGGTTGCTTGCTGTGCTGGCTAGTTTGCGGCTCCAAGGGTTATCTTTTCCAGCAATACAAGGCCACAGTTTTGTCCACAAGCAAAAGGGAATGCAGAGTCTCGCTGCTGTAATCGCTAAAAAAAAAATCGTAATCAACTAAAATGTGTGTCTGCAAATAAGAAGACATCATCACTACAATGCTGTAGTGACACGGGGGCAGCTTGTCACCATCATGCGACTATTCACCCATTGTTTCTAGTGAAAGAAACAAGTTACGAACAGACAGTGTGACAAAATTCGCAATGTTTCGGCTGGAAAATATGATCATTAAAGCTTTCAAACCGAGTTTCTGAAGTAGGTGTAGCACGAAAGTACTTCGCCAGCAGTGCAAGTGTGCAAATTGCTGGAGCCACCGACAATCTGAGGTTCGCATACATTGCGAATTCCGTCAGACTATCCTTTATTAATTTATTTATATTATTAGAAAGATTGGGTAAATCATGACTTGCTGCCATTGATATGTGGGGTTGAACGTCCCGAAACCATTATATGATTATGAGAGACGCCATGGTGGAGGTCTCCAGAAATTTAGACCACCTTGGGTTCTTTAACGTGCACCCAAATTTGAGCACGACACACTGCTGTTGCAAAAAACATGAAAAATGCTGCCAGCGCGTCACTTCTGTGTTGCAGTGAAGGGTGTCTCTGGCCCAGCCCACTGTGGCCAGAGTTTATGTTAATTTACTTAAGTTTAAATATAACAATGTAACCTACAAATACGTAAAAAAATGACCTCTGATCTCAGCATAACACTATACCATAATGATGTGGTGCTCCCGACAGTTTAGAATCTGAAGCAATTTTCGGAGCAAGAAAAAGTGTTCTGAAGCAGATTTGAAGCTGGAGGTACTGTGTTTTCGAGAAGGTTTAGAACAGCCAAAATGGAATTAGGGTCACTTGGAGCAGGACATGCCCCAATTTTTAATGATTATTGTTATTACTGTGCATACAAGAAATGCTGCTGCAATGTAAACAAGGAGACAAAGCCAACATCCAGAGAGCTGCCATTAACCAAGTGCTCAACCCAAAAGACACTCTGGCTTCAGTGCAAACCACAAGGTATGTGGTGAAGTAAAGTGTCAGAAATAAGGCAAGCATGGCATATATGGTTTCTGCGAAGCCTCGTAAGGTCATTTCAAAAAGAAAAAAAAAAATCCCGACCTGAAAATCATTAGTCTAAAATTTAAAGGAAGACAACGAAGAAAACTCACTGCAAATGAGAACATACTGTTTGAAATTGCCTGTACAGATAGTGCACTCAATATTCTCCACAACTCACTATGGATAATGTTTAGCATACTCAATAACTGCTCAGAGGCATGAGCATTGAGTGAAATTCTCTTCTACTTTCAAGCACTTTGGATTGAGCACGTCTGGTTTTCCAAATAACCAGTAAAGGACAATCAAATGGTTAGGTGGGAGGAGTGCCACCGGTAATTTTTTTTTAAAGGCAAAGCTCCTTATTAAGGCGCGAGTCTGTACATCCTTCGATGTATGTAGTAGTAGGTAGCCACCAGTGGCACATAGCCGCTCTAGAGCAGGTATGTGCCACAGGGGATGCGAGATGTGAGATGGCAGTACCTGGAGTGTTCACTAGATGGATGCACGAACGTACAGAAAGACTAGCAGATGGATGGACGAATGCACGGACAGACGGATGCATGAATGGTCGCACGGACGGCATTCACTCCGTAAATATACTGCGATTTTTAAAAATTTTTTATAGAGGGAAGGGGGGTAGGCCGGAAGGACAAAGTGAATGGCTGAACCAATGCCTCCTTTATTTCTTTCAATTCCAGTGCAAACATGCGCTTCCCAATGGGAGCAGTATGTCTACATTAGTTCAGGGAGTAGTCGTGATGCGGCGCTATATGAGGGGTCCTGCTGCTCGTGTCATGCGTGCTTCTGAGGGCTTTCCCCCGGTGATGCGACAGACATGTATCCCACTCCAAATTAATAAGTCTGTCAATTTGTTCCTCTGGGCTCCTTCTTTGTGGCTCGAAGCAATGCTGCCACTGCATCACAGCACTCTCAAAGTTGGCGCATGCCGTTGCATTGCAGTAACACTTCCCCATTGGCTGCCAGTGTAGCGCTACGAATGGCGACACGCTACCTGAAAAGACCCTATCACTTACAGAGCAAGCATGACCACCAACATTGTGATAACAAGGAATGCAAGACGCCACCGCACGGATCTGTACACAAATGAACAAAAGATTACTTTATACTATTCTCGTTGTGAGACACTGCATGAAGGGCTCTCTTCCCCAAGACCGCAAAGCAGAGGCAAAGTCTAGGTGATGGGTGAGAGCAGGAAATGGCTAGATGAGTGGGTGGTGAATAGCTGGATCGGGCACATCTGGCTGGCATTGATAAAATAAAGGAGGCGCTGGCTAAACACCCTCCCCTTCTCTCCCATAATCGCCACCGCTTGTATCCACTGTTCGATGGGGTCCTATAAGAATGGGCTGAGGAAGAACATTAGTGATAAGATTGCATCTGTTTTGTCTCCCATCAATTTATAGCGTCGCATTGCACTTTGGACTCAGTTACGTAGTTCATGAACCGCTATCGATCCCCACGGCAGCGCCACTCAACGCTCGTCAATGAGCGATCAGTTAACAAACAGTGGCTACACTGAAAATGCTCGAAAGCGAAGTTTTCAACAACGGGAAGGGAATCGTTTTGGGAGATTTGCGAGCCGGGGCAGTTTCTTTGTCCTATTGTGTCGATTGACAACATTGTTTTCCCAGATTTGAGGACGCGCGAGAGGCTGACTATTTGTGGCTGACTGCGCGGCTCACTTTCTACATTCGCTGGCTTGCCACCACGTTACATAGGTTTAGCAATGAAGACGTGCAACAAGCGCATGGATTATAATTCATAAATGAAAAAGTGGCAGTTGTGCGCCAATGTGCCACTTAAACATAATCTTACAATAGGCATACCAAAAGGTGTGCAGATAGCTGTTGCCAGTTGGCTTCAGTGACTACATTAAGGTACATTGAGTAACTCGCGAAAAAAAAAAATCGCTTCATTTTATGGCCAGTTCCCTAACAAATAAAAACTATCGACGAAATGCTAAACTTACAACGGAGACATGTGGCGGTACAGATTTTGCAACTTTGGCCCGAGCATGCAACAAAAGGGAAACTAAAGCTAAATAACAATGTATGTCAGAGTGAAAGCTCTATGTATGCAACGTCTAAAACGGCAATATTATTCACAGCAGTGCCCTATTTACCGAGCAATTAAGCTCAATGTATCACACGACATGCGCCACAAGAGGGACATTTTAGAAATGATCTCGATGACGTGAGAGCGTGCGACTACAATTAATCATAGTAATCAAATTAGCTTCAATAAAAAAAAACCTTTCAAGCTTCAAGATACGTAACCTATTGCTGTTTGTCTGTTTCTACTTGATTTATAGAAAAAAAAAAAAACCTGGCATTACTATGGGGAATGGTGTGAGTGGTTAAAAATTCCGTTTTCGCCTGATTAGGCTACACAGGTGGCGTCATTTAGCAGGGCTCAGTTGAACCAAGCAAGCAGAAAATTGTTCAATGGCTGTTGTTGCTATTGTGGCTCCCTCTCCTTTATTTCTGCTGCCAATAGTGTCAGCGGCCACGCAATAAAGGCGGGCCACGGTGGGCATGACAACAGTGACGCGAGACAGCCTGCTTTCAGGTATCAGATTTGAATGCGATACAGACCACTAAAAGGAGATTTTATTCCAAAATAAGCACTTCATCAACATTGACTTAATATTGTTTGCCTTTAGTATCCCTTTATTATGAAAATACTGACAAAACGCAAATCACTAGGACAGAGCGAGTAGAGGACACTAGGGACATTATGAAGTAGATTTAGCTGCGTTTGTCACCAGACCAAGAATATTTTTGGGTCATAAACAGTTTGGTACTATGCAAACAGTATTCGAATGTGCACAGCAATGTGCAGAGATACCGGATGGCAGCAATATGGCGCAAGTGGCGTGGTTTGATTTGTGGGGTTTAACGTCCCAAAACCACCATATGATTATGAGAGACGCCGTAGTGGAGGGCTCCAGAAATTTTGACCACCTGGGGTTCTTTAACGTGCACCCAAATCTGAGCACACGGGCCTCGACATTTCCGCCGCAACTGGCGTGGTTGGACCGCCACTACATAATGTGATGTAGAAGTTGGTGCCACTGGACACAAAAGAACATTGTGAGGACAAGAAGAGTCTGAAGTGTCTCCACCATGAGTTGATGGTACTGCCCTGGCCATAATGCATAATTCTGTGCCTCACATCCTTGCATATACCTATTCTGAATATTCTCCCGGTAACATATTGATAAAGATGTGGCAATCGGCCATTTCGGCACTCTTTACGCAACTTCCCGGAAGCTTAATAAAACATGCTGCTAGACTAGTTTGTTGATAATTACGAATAGTACTAGTGATAGGGCAATTTAATCAAAAGAAGACAAAGAAGAAACACTGACACAGGACAAGTTCTATCCCTGAAGAAAACAAGTAGATTGGGGTGGGAGTCAATATATTAAACAACGCTTAGACACAGGAAACAGGAAAGAAGAGACACACATGGTGCTAAACTTGCAAGTCTATCCCTGTGTCAACTCTATCCTTTTGTGTCAGTATTTCTTCCTTCTCTTTTTCAAGTTGAACTATCCAGCATTCCCAGAGACTGGAAAGCAGCTAAGGTAATTCATATGCTGAAAATTGGCAATGCACATTAATAAACAGAACCACGCACAATTCCTATAACATGTGTATGGAAGACCATCAGACACATTGAAAAGTTGTAGGTTCAGTGCCTACCTGCAGCAACTTGATTTTTTGTCTACTTTAATTCCTTTCCAGACACAAATGATGTCCCTTTCTAAACTTCACTGTCTTTTGGTTTTGTTAGATTGTGTCTCAAATAAATAAAAGGCTTCAATCAAACCCCTTCTTTCTTTTATGCAGCAAGATATTCTAACATCATAGCCTTTAGGATTTACAGTCGCCTAGAATTAAGAGGTTGTCTTCACTTAACCAGCATGAGTTCGACAAGACTTTGTTCTATGGAACTGCGATTACAACAATGATTTGCATTTCAATATGAATTTAAGTTTTAAGTAAATTGTGGATTTCTTGAATTTATCAAAAGCTTGCTCTGACTAGCTTGGCTCTGCAACTTTCTCCCCAATCTTTGAATTCACAGTAGTACACAATTGTTTTTTTTTTCTTCATTTTTTGCAATATCTCCAATACCTCAGGGCAATGTCCAGTAACTTTTGGCCACCATTTCTAAAAGAATACCTTTAGGTACAAGCTCATACAACACCTAGCCAAATTCAAGAACATATAAAGTTATGATATTCAGTAATAAACATTTTTAAATTTCCTTATCTCATACATAGCAGCCATGTGTCGCATGTCCCCCCACAGAGTGAATCCAGGAGTAAGTACACATTTCGACAGTATTCGCTTGGACATAGTTACCGATTTTGAGGTAATTAAATTCTAGTGTTTTACATGCCAAAACTATGGTATGATAATGAGGCACATGTAGTGGAGGACTCTAGATTAATTATGACTATCTGGAGTTATTTTACATGCACCTAAATCTGAGCATACTAGTGCTCTTGCATTTGTCCCCATCACAATGTAGCCAACATGGCTTGGAACCAAACTTGTGCCTTCGTGCTTAGCAGTACAACACCTTAGCTACAAAGTCACTGCATTGGGCGGTTTTGTGGGTCGTTCTTATAATTCACAAATGAACAAAAGTCTGAGCATTTCCTTGAACCGACTGATGCTCTCCTTTCTCTTAGTTATGTTCTTTATGCTAGCATATTTGAAAAACCACCTATTGAATGAGTGCAAGCTCTACAATAAGAAGAGAAAAACAGGATTTGACTAAATCAATACATGTAGCTCAAAACTTAGGGTGGTAACTGTTGGTTGAAGGTAAAAAATATCCGATATTATTTACAACTCAGTTTTCTGAAGCAAGCAGGAAAAGGCCCGTTTATGTAAATCATTAAAAGAATTTGAAAAAATTTAGTCCAAGCTAATGAATACATGAGCATGTGGGCTATCGTACATTTATTGTAAAAATGAACCATCATACATTACATTCAGTGTAAAATAGGTCATTTTACACTAAATCCACAATGACCAATTCTCTTAATGCATAGAAAAAAACAAAAACAAAATTGATATAGGAGCTTCATAAACTGGCACTTAAAAATCTTTTTCAAACAATATTCAAAATTTTGAAACGTCAATAGTCCGAACTTGAAGATGCAAAATAAAGATGCAAGCTTGAAGATGTAATAGTAAAAGAAAAAGCCAAACCTGTGATGTTCCTGAAACTGTGCGACTGAGTGGTGATCGGTCCATGCTCACAATTGGCGATAGACGGCTCGATTCATTAACATCATCTGCCTCCTCCGATACCAAGCGAGCATCTTCTGAAGCACACTTTATGGTGCCGCTTTTCATTGCATTGCTCAGCAGCTGAAAAAAAGATAATTCAGATAAACAGCACTGAAGTTGAACATATGCACACCATTTAACTAGGATGCATTAGAATATGTGCTGTATCTGGCCATACTTGACCTTGCACTTTGCATGTGAATTACAAAAATCTGTAACACATAATAAGCACAAACTTTATTTTGGATTTTCAGTGAGTGGGTTAGAGTTTTGTTTAAGAGGAAGTACAAGTTGATGAATTACATTTTTCTTTTGAGAACTAATATTCTAGACTTTTATTGCTTAATTATACTTCCGCATTCTATTTTTAATAATGATGCAAATCTGTTTCATAAAGCTGAAGAATGAAAATTAATCTAGGGTATTTGAGCCATTGTAGTTTCAGTAGCTCCATTTTTCATTCATGTTCTACTACACATAGACATGAACTTGACTGAGCTGAAAATGGCAAATAACTCTCACTGTGTCTTCAGTGACTACTACGTTAGGCTGTCAGGTCTTTCAGACACTACTAAACTTGTTTGACCTACATAATGATGATACTAGCCACATGACTGCACAGTTTGACAATACAAGTGGCAAACAAATGTCCATACGTCATATGTACAATGTATCTGTGGTCTCACATGGTCAAGTCCACTTTGGCACCTTCATCTACTTCCTTCTTAAAAGAGTTACTGAAACAAAAGTTCTTAGTTGTTCCTTCTTGCAAGAAAGGCCAAGCCTTCCTCAAAGAGCCCAAAAGATTTACCGATTAGCACAAGAGTGCCCCGAAAAATTGCAACATGTTTTAAAAGGTACTTTCAGTTGTGACAGTATCTTGACATGATGACAGAGTATGAGCTTCACGTCACATGCTCGCACAAGATTTCACGGTGTTTCCATGGCCACTCCACTCTGTTGCTTCATCGGTGATGTAAAAGCGGCCATTTTGTATGTTCTCGTTACTTGATATCATCCCAATTAGCCATACTGGTGTGTGAAGTAATCAGAACCGATATTGTAGCCTGATGTAGCACTAGTGTCGATGTCAGTAGATGTGCCATGTGAAAAAATGATTTTAATGTCAAAATAAAATCTTATTTCCTGAGCTTCACACTTGCTCAGACCAGTCAGTTCCTGCATACAGGAGCAATAGAGTAACTTTCCATGCAAATGGCACAGTAAAGTTAGCTTCAACAAATGGTGTCACTATCCTTTAAAGTCACATAACTACTCCCAAAACAGAACTAGTTTAACTAGTGTCTTATTATGTTCGTAAATCTTAATATGAAAAGTGAAGCAAGCTATAAGTTGGCTGGACCAAATTCTGGCCAAGCATCATGGAAAGTATTCAACGGTGAAAAGTTTTAGATGTAAAGTTGCATGACAACGGGCACACATAACTGTAAGAAGTGTGTGCGATGATCAGAGCTCATCCACTGTAGCAGTAACTGAGAACTTTTCATACAGGGGTGCAACAACAGAAATAGGATTTGGAGCAATTTTTGAAGCAGAAAAATTGTGCTTTTGGAGCATGAAAATAAAACTTAGAGCAGGTTACAAAAAAAACATTCTTTTAGCATAAAATTCCCGATTCGGATCTGTATAAGAAATAAGCCTTACTTTAAAAAAAGATAATATGTACACACCATTCAACAAAACCTGACTTGTGTATATTGCACGTGAACACAACTATTTCAACAAAACCAGTGTGCTAAACAACCCCACAGTGTAAACAGTGAAGATGTCCACACAGCATTTGCAGAACCGGTCAAATAATTTGACAGGAGCAGGCCCAGAGAAACTTCACGCACAGCTCAAAGTGATTATCAGTAACTTTATAGATATCAGCAATCATACTTTACTTGTAATTACACAGAGCGTGCACGAATGAGTAATTAAAGAACAAAATGTGATGTGTCCCCCGACAGCTAGTGCTAAAGAACCCTTCTAAATCTCAGAACGTTTTTACACCAGACACCAGTGCACTGTCGCTAAAATAGCTTAACAAGCATTCTTCACACAACATATCAAGCAACAAGAAAATTTAGAACCAGTGCCTTTTTTCTTTTCTTTCATGGAGAGGTTACGGTCTGCACATCTAGATCGAATTAATGATGCCCAAACTGTAGATGGCCAATGCAGCCTTTTTTCTCGCTATATGTTAGCACAACATAAAAATTTTTGAGGTTGGTTAGACATTTTGGTGCAGTGTGGCATAATTTAAACAAACTTCACGATGTTGGCTGAGCTTGGCACAAAAGTTATGAGTTGTAACAAATTAAATTAGCACAATTGCCACAGCTATTGCACTCCTGTTTCACAGCAAAGGAGTTTTTTTATGATAATATAAATTGAAGGGAAAAATTATTAGTCACTATGGTGATGGCAAACCCTTTTCAAAAATAAAAATAATCATAAAATTACTCTACTGTTCTACAATTCAAACAAACATACATGTCACATGCAGTTATAAAAGTCTTGCAAGACATTTTCAGTGTGGCAAACCTACAACACAGTTTCCATAAAGGTCAATTTCTGGCTGCTGCAGCTGAAATTGAACACAATTCCCATACACAGCAAGCAGACATAAAAGCATAACTGAGTTCTACTTTCACAATTACAATAACTATTAAAGCCTTACATTTTCTAGTAAACAATATTGAGACAAATGTGAATGTGAATGTCCCAATTCTGACATTATTAAAAAGGAATGCAGTTTCAGTGTTTCATTTTTTTGGTTGAGGTTTAACGTCCCAATCACTTGCAATATTTCTTGCAACTATCGGAATAGAATTGTCCCCTTTGTTGCATGTATAAAACTTTCAACTCGATTAATATTGACGTATACTCTTTTCCATACAGTTCAATCCATAAATAATTCATTTTTCATTTTTACTTAAACTATTGCTAGTAATGCTAGTAATTAAACTGTTAGTTTAACTATAGCAAAAACTATAATAATAATAATAATAATAATAATAATAATAATAATAATAATAATAATAATAATAATAATAATAATAATGTGGGGTTTAATGTCCCAAAACTACCATATGAAAATGAGAGAGGCTGTAGTGCAGGGCTCGGAAATTTCAACCACCTGCAGTTAGCTCAACTGTAGCCTACCCACAGTTAAACAGTTAGTACTATATTAATGTAAGTATACTCTCCCTCAGCACAATAGTATAAAAGATTGTAACCAAGCCTGTCATATCTTAGGGAGTACATACTCCCTAAGAGAAAGCCTAACCATCTTTCTGGCGAGACTGACATAAGACTGTGCTCCCAGCCAATCTTCTCATGATTCATGCACATTTCAGCACGCCAAATTTACAATTAGTCAGTTCTCTCATTCTAGTTTGTCTACTCACAGCATTGATGCCTCTGACTTTGACGTCTGCATCTTCCTCTTCGGTAGTTTTTCGGCTTTTGACATCAAGGTCAAGATCAATATCCATTCCAGCAAAGTCATCAAAAAGATAGTAGTCACCAGAGCGTATGGCTGCCAAAAGACAGTAGCAACAAATCAGTCACCATAGCTAGCACAATAAACGAGTGCAAGCAGTCAGTGCCAATAACAAAAGCCGCTATAGCAAAACAGAAGCAACAGGGTCCACCGAGTGCACGCCAATTGCTGGATTCTGATGACAGCCAGAAGCGCCATGCTGTATTAGAACATAAGCAGTTTTAATTTTTTCATTCCATGTGTGATTGATATGGCTAAGCAGAAAGTAGCTGTTTAAAATGTGCTCGAGAGAGATCGGCAATGACTCGGGTACAAAGGAGTCCAGCACAAACAGCCGAAAGCCACAAGACAATATTGCCTGTAAAGTATACACATAAGACAGCTTGACGACAATATAAAGATAGCAAGAGCATTCACAACATTGTGCATGACCACAATAATACAGAGATGGGAAGCCTGCAGTGTACTAGACCTCACATGATGACTTACTCCTAAACGCTGCAACAGCTCATTTTCCATAACCACCACAGTGAAAAAAGAATTTAAGCAACAAGTCTGCCACTTTGCTAGAACCAGAGTAATTTAAAAACTGTGAAAAAAGCAAGTAAAACTGATATTGAACATTGATTAAGTACATAATTTCTGAAATTATCATCAATGCAAGTAAATAACAGAATGTATAAAATCTAACGGACTATTGCATGACTTACAGCTGTACCAGAAGTAGTGTAAATCTACATTTAACTGCATGCTCTAAAAAAAAAAAACATGCAAATGTGCATAAATTGCAATGCCTTATATAACGGCTGTTAGGAGAAGTTATCATGTAAATCAAGCAGGCACAAACGGGCAGCTAAGGGCAGGCCAGCTTTACACGCATAATGTGAGGAGCGACGACTGGACCCCTGACGCTGTGGGGCAATGGCTGAAGGCCGGGGCACACTGGCAAGCCGCACATGTGGCTGCCCTGCTGTTGAAAGCCGGGGCTCCATGTAGCTGTCGAGGTATGCTGTGAAGCCCGCCGAGACAGGAGACATTGTCAGCTGCCCCATGGATGGAGACTCTCCTCCTCCTGCGGGAGGTTCTTCTTCCAGTAAGGACTGACCCCCCGCAGGGGTTGAGTATGGGGTTGAGTACTCTGTTTGCAGATTGTCAGAGGTGTTTGGGGGAAGAGAGGGGCGGATTTTACTTCGATTAACCTTTTCTCTCATAAACATTGTACCCATTTTTTTTTATCTGAATCTTTTCATCATGAAGAGAATAAGCTGTATTTGCATCATAAAAAAGCTTAAGACAGTACATCACTTTGGAGATACTAGTAATAATGCCAAATGGTTTTGCTGCTAAAGTAAACACTGAAGGCAGGCTGCCAACCACTATTGTCAAATCCACTGCCACAGAAAATTGATTTTTTTTTAAACACAGATCCCAACGTTTAAAGCTACACGTATGACAGTCCTGTTTCAAATACCTATGAAGATATCTAATGGCATCTGAGTACACAGAGATGCTAAGGCCAAAATGAAATAATTAAGCAGGGCTGAGAACTTCATAGGACACAGCATTCTTTTTAGGCCAAGGGCACATAAATCAACTTTCAAGTTCGCCAAAGCATTTTTCAAATGAGCAAACACTAATGAAAAAAAAAATTAAATTTAATTCAGAGACTTAATGTGTGCAAACCATGATCACGATGCACACCATGGCAGGGGACACTAGATTAATTTTGACCATGTGGGGCTTGTTTGCCAAGTACACTAGCATTTTAGCATTTTCCTGTATTAAAACATGGTCCTAGCAGCCAGGATAGAATCTACGACTAGCTAAGGGACTATGCTTTTATTATGATGCTTAGCTTAATGTGGCAGGTAACACAAATGTAACCAAAATGCTGGTGCAGTGTGTAAACATGGTTAAACTTGACAGGGTAAGCAGAATAGGAAACAACTACACTCTGTGCTTATACAGCTATGCCTGATACAATGACATAGTAAAAAAAAAAGTGGTCCATGATGAAGCTTCAAAGTGAAATGACGAGGGTTTTGCACATACAAATAGATGGAGGACATTGTCTTCAAATTTCAGACTAGCTTTTTTCTTCAGCTAATTCATATTCCAATACAATGATGGAAAACCCTCATACACTCAAGTTTTGTATTTGGAATGAAAATAGCAATGTCTGAATGGACAAATGTGCCCAACACCGCAACGGCATATGCACGTTCACTCTGCAGTATATAGGTAGGGTCACTATTAGATGGTGAAGCAAACAAACTCATGATGCCTCTAAGAAACTTGCAGGCATAACTAGAAATTGGCTCAGACAATTAAGGTGTAACTGGAGATTGCTCTGGCACAGGCACCAGGACCTCTTCTAACTGACATAAGAATAGCTGACGATCAAGGCTATAGCCAGGATTTTTATTTCAGGGAGGCGGCTTTGGCCCCCCTACCAGTATATTCTTGCATATCTGTGGATATATACACAATGTTTCAAAAAAATACCTTCAAAAATAATAAAAAATAAAAGTGCAGTATTCTCTTGATACTTACAGCATTAATTTTTTCATGGTGGCAGACATATTAAAATGAACAAAAGCATTAAAAATGACATTAATCACAGAAATTAAAACAAATATCTTCTAAGTTAGGTGATGATACTGTTAACCAACAGCAATGACTCTTGCACATGCATGGTGCATGTTAGCATGGCAAGCACAGCCTGAAATCCCCAAAGCAAAGTGCATTGATGGTTGGTAATGTTGCTCTTATTTTGGGTGTCTCAGAAGCGCATGGCAATCACACTTTTCAGTGCTTCAGTTTTTGTTTTGCTGGCAAAACTGGTCCAATTTCATCACTTTTCATCATTTTAATTATTTCATCATGATTCGTCTGCAACAATTGCGAGTGGTCCCATTTTTGAAATTGCAAAGCAGCAATGAGATCGTCAAAGAAAGCAATTTAGTTCTATTTTAGCCCATTCCTGTTCCCTCCAATTAAAAAAATTATTCTAATATCCGTGATCATTTTTGTGATTGCTGTCTGTAGTCATGAAGTAATGCTGAAAGTCGCGAGCAAGTATCACAGTTACCTTAATCTTGAAAATTTTCAGTGCATTCCTGAAACATCCACTGAATTTAATACTCCAGTATTTGTATCAATAAAATTTCGATTCTCAAAAAATGTATATACATACAGTATATATATAGTTTGTATAACAAACTTCAAAATAATGAAATTCTTTATATAATGAAGTATGACTTTTTACAACTTGGCATACATATAGAACACCACATCTTTTAAACATCAATATAAGAACACGCATTTATCTAAAATTTTAATATAATAATGAAGTTTTATTGCTGCAAAGGAGAAATCCAAGATGAAAAATTACAGCATACAGTGACAGCAGTGGTCATTTGGTTAACTTGCACACAGTTTTTGTGAAGACACTTGTGAAATCTCGCGACTCTGCCATTCTCAAAACAGAGCAGAGTTTTTTAGGCATCCCAATGCTCTCTCCTTCAGAGAGGTGGTGAGAGGGAACATGCAATGATGGTAGCATCCAAAATCGTGGTGTACCATATTACACACTTTCCTAACATGGTGTATTTCTGTATTTTATGTCTTGAGTGCCATGTACAAACACCCAATTTCGTGTTTTTGTTATCACTGCATGTCAAGTAATAAGCATGAGCAGCCATAGAAAGTGGTAGCAGCAAAGTCAGCAAGCTCTCAGTTATCTTGCAAGCTATCTCGGCAAGCAAGAAAAAAAAAAAGAGATCACTGTTTGATTAGGAGTATCTCGGAGCTTACTCTTCATGATTGCAAGCTCTAAAGAGACTATTTTAACTAGGCTCTTAAGAGTTTGGGATGACTAATTCTGTCCAAACTAAGTTTTATTTATTTATTTATTTATTTATTTATTCAAAGTACCTGCACCATCTGAAGGCATTATTGCAGAGAGAAATACACAGCGTAATATATTCTAACATGAAAAAAGAATAACCATAAAAACAAGATTAACACAAAAATAGAAAAAAAAAGATCTAGCTATGAGTGTAACAGTATGTCTATAAACAATGTTTAAGAGCGATAGTCAACAATCTCCTGTGGAAGCTGATTCTACTGGGAGATTGTGCATGGAAAAAAACGAGTGTTGGTAGAGATTTGTTCTCCAAGAACTTTTTTATTTTTAGAGAAAGGTCACTTCTGTGAAATAAGAAATGGGGAGGTAAAACGTAAGAGTTTAACTATTTAACCAAGCAGTGAGAATTTTTGAAAAACTTTTCTAATGTTTTTTTCTATGTGTACTAGGTAATTCTCACCCAAACTTATCCTTTAGTGCAGTAACACTAAACATGAAGTCATTGTTACAACTGACAAAGCAGACTGCACGGTTTTGTCCCAGCTCTAGCATATTAGATAGTGTTTCACCTTATGCATCCCAAACCGTACACAAGTACTCTAATAATTGGTCTAACATTTGAAAAATAAAGTAATTCTCCGATTTTGGGAGCTAAGTTTTCAGTGAAAGCACTGAAACTCGGCTATAAGTGCATTTAAAGCAAATGTGATTTTCTTTATTCTTTTCTTTTTCATAAAGGTACTACTGCAACATATTTTAACCCTTTCTGTCTATTGTTCGAAAGGGCCCGACAGCTGAATATGGCTGCAGAGGTCTGTTGTCGGGTGCTGTGGACAAGCTTTCTTATGGTTTATTCATGCGCACATTTTCTCACTACAATATGAGCTATCTCTAAAATACTATGGAAGTTTCTTTTACTTGAACTTTACATTTTTTTTAGTTTTGCAGCGAAATGAATAGAAGGTTTGAGTTTGAGTTTGAGTTTATTAGGTGGATACAGGTTTCAGATCACAAAGGGGTTGAATAGCCCAGCAATAGTTGTCCGAGCTGTTCGCAGTTACCCGCCGTGTTGGAGACTTATAGCGAGACTGTGTTAAAATTACTTAGTTAATTAAGTGAAACAATAGACTGTTTTCAATGCAATCAAAATTGAGAAACTATGTTATATATAGAGTTTCATTGAATTGAGGTTCTTTATATCGAGGTATGACAAAATTTCTATGCAACTGAAATATGCTTTTTTACTGACATATTTTCAATTTTTGTAGCATTCTCCATGTAAAAATGAATCCTTCATTTACACTTTTTCTAAAAGGTCAAATTTCAATTTCATGAAGTTTAATGGAGGAAAGTTTCAATATAACACAGGAAATCGCCAATTTTGCACAGACTTTTTAACTCAAGGTTTAAAGGTACACACATGTGGGAAATGGGGGTGCTTGGGGGGTGTTTGGTTTAAGCACACAGGCATAAAACCTCCTGCTCGACTTCCTTTTGGTTACACCTATGCTTACAATGTTGATGTCTCTTGCATAATATAACAGGAACAGTGCAAAACATACAATGCAAAAAAAATGCGCTCCATTCAAAGTAATTTCATTTGTAATGCTAAGAGGTGTATTATAAGAATTTGAACTCAAGGACAACATAGAAGACTTGAACACCAGCTCAAATATAAAAACCAGATTGGTCCAACTAAACACAAGCCAAACTGGCTAAGCAGTGCCTATTTTAAGTGAAGCAATAAATTATAGTTACACTCAGTCACCTCAACTCCCCACCGACAAACAAAACTTGTGACTTTAGGCACATAGTGGTCATTTTAAAGCTGCAAAGGTGGGTCGTAAATGGCTGTCTTCATTAATTACAGACACTCAATGCCTAATGAAGCTGTGCTGTTGCATTAGAGATATAAGGGACGAAATGCTCTGGAAGGACAAACTCAAGCTTAATATATCAAGTGAGCTATGCTTGATGGAAAGCAAACACATGCACAAACTCAGTATTTCAGTGTCTGCACTTACACAGGGCTACATAGGTTTGTTCGATGTCTCTGTTTTGTTCATGGTTATCCATTTCAATGTACACATTAGGCTTATGCAAATATTTGAACACTTTCAATATTCCAACAAATAACGATGCATTCAAATTCATTTAGATTCAAATTCAAGTTACAGGAAATATCGAAATATTCCAAATGAACAAATCATGTATATCAGACCCCCATAAAACTCCCTGTAAAGATGGTTTCACCACATTAAAAAAGTGCTATGCCGTTAATACACCTTTACAAAAATGTCCGCACTATCACGAAGCCCTCAAGAATAATGAACATATTACTCTCTGTTTTAGGTTTAAAAGCTTGTTATACTGCCTTATTATATGCTCTAGGAATAGTTAATTTTAAAATGTAAAACCTTTTGTACGTTATCACTTCCATTCAACCAAAAGTCAAATCTTGCTTCTATTCAAAGTTTCAAAGTTGTTCCTACTTCCTCTGAATTAAGAAGAATAACATTTGCTCATGCCTTGTTTAAAAAAAAAAAAAGAGAAGGTTAGATGGGTCATGTCAAATATCCTCATTTTTCTTTATAATATGCTGTATACACTATTCAAATTCGATTCAAAGTTATTTTACCCAATCACTCTTTGCTTCAAATTTGCATTGAACCTAAAATTTACTTTTAGCACAAGCGTAGTAAACATCTTTGCCAGAGATCTATTTGGACGAGTAAAATGCTCAATGCTCTACCAGCCCCAGCCACAGATCAATGTGGCCATGACATTTCTTCAGAGGTTGACTGTATTGGTTGAGAAAGCTTCACTTCTGCATCTATCATTTCTTAATATAATCATAATAATACCTGGGGTTTTATGTCCCAAAACCATGATATGATTATGAGAGATGCTGTAGAGGAGGACTCTGGAAATTTTCACGATCTGGTGTTCTTTAACATGCACTGACATCACACAGCACACGGGCCTCCACCATTTCCCCTCCACCGAAATTCAACCATCGCGACAGAGATCGAACCCGCGACCTTTGGGCCAGCAGCCAAGCAGCTAAGCTACTGATCCACTTGTGGCAGCACCGTGGTTCTATCATTTCTGTTCCTCCTCCTTGTGCCATGTTGATGTCCATAAGCATACACAGTGGGCCCACTCTCAATGAGCAGTTGATATTGGCAGGAGTGTCCTTAAAGCGGCACAACTTGACAAGTCTCCTCCCTGTGTTTGTCGCTTTTTCAATGATAAAAGCACTGTCAAAATCGATGCAAGAGCAGTGCATTGAGCTTTCACACTCCCTACATTGTCCTTTTGTGTGCTGGTAGATTCTGTCATAAAAAAAAACCCTGCTTTCCTATACGTGCATGCACGTCCACACACACACACATACACGTGCACACACACACACACGCACGCACACACACACGCACACACACATGCACGCGCACACACACACACACACATACACACACACACTTCTACAAACATAGTAAACTTATTGAACTGACGCAGTAAACCCCTAATGAAAGCACTGAACCAGTCGTGTTATGTCAAGACCATCTTCAACTGTGGCTGGTGCCAGTTCCGCATCTAGAATAATTTGCTACATATACCTAGCAAAAAATCTGAAAATTAGACAAAGAAATACACTTACCTTGAAAGTGTGTTTCTGGTTCAACATATTCTCCAGCTCTAACTTTGTGTTGATTTGCCCGAATTTTGTCCATCTTCCGTTTTATTTTTTCCATTATGTCTCTCTCTGCTGCTCTTTGTTCCTGCGTAAATGTGCAAGTTTGACACGCTGCTCAGATGTTGATTTAATCTAAACAAAACAACTAGAAGGGAGAGCCAACCTAACCAACCTACAACCTGTCTGTAAGAAACTTTACTTGACAGATGTAAATATTTCAGACTGAACATGAAGGGAATAGTATCCACTTTTCTGTATGTATTTGATCTCAGAGTTTAAAATTTATGAATATTTAATTCAGCCAAATACTAGGGTATTATTAGGAAAGCACACACTAGGCAAGCTTTCACAGAACTGATGGGTTGAAGAACACACTGTCATTATTTACACCAACTGAAATGGAGAGCTTTGCCCATTAACGAAAGCTTTGTTCCTGATGGCATTTCCTGTGCTGCAGGTGGTTCTGACACCGCAGAGGGAAAATTTCCAATGAAACATGTTCTGGCCTAGGAAAATGAGCCTCTATTATAGTCGGCCTGGTGAGCTTTTAACTACTGAAGCCCATGTACTACTTTTCTGTCAGATAACATGACATGGCACGTAAATACTTATGCTTAAGAGGAAGTAAGAGTATCCGAAATTGAGGGAAGAGCCAATGAAACTTAATAGAGTGAATCTACTTGCATGTAATTACTGTGCCACACTGTGTTTGTACCAGTAGCCAGATAAACTGAAGCACTTTTAATTCTCTCAATTATGAATAACACACTTGTGCTAAGGATGATTTCTCTCCACTAGCAAAGGAAGCGAACTTGTCCATACTGTCCTTTACATAAAAATTACTTGTCACTTAATTCAATATTTGAGTTTTCTTTTTCAAACATACTGAAGCAAAGGCCCATCTGGCTACCCTTATTGATAACAAGTGACAACCTCCATTTCAAATGTTCTCACGAAAATCCTATCACGGCATGCAGGTAGCAGTTTTTAGACCATGGGTTCTCCGCTAAGACTGCTCTTTGCTGTAAAAGAAACGACTATACTATGTTGCACACAATGCAGCAGAATCATTGCTCAGATACACAATACTATGAACATGACAAGCATTGTGCATGTCGAAACTTACTTGCACATCCTTCATCTGGATTTCGTGTATCATTTCAGCTCCCCGCGAGGCCAGCTGCTGTTGGGCCAAAATCTCAATGATGAGATGGTGGAAGTAATAGGAGTTGAACAGACGCTTCTGCATCAGCAAGAAGGCCAGACAGATGCCATCCCAAAGTAGGCCAGCTTCATCAAGAGGCACCCGGCAGCTCCCAACCGCTGCATTGGGTAATCCAGTGCTGCTTCCTGGAACCACACAAATGCAGAACAGTATAAGCAGTGCCTTGTTTAAAAACTAAGAACATGCGAATTTCTGCTATGTAATGCATCTCGCATAAGCAAAGGTTCTCTGTAGGCAATGGCACTTTTAAGCATTTTGCTTGAAGTGCTGCCTTTGTCATACTTAGTTTCATGCCTATAACCGTAATACAGCCATAAAAACTATAGTCGGTGACACGCCAAGAATAAAAAGTAAAGTGTACCACTCTACATTTGTATTACGGGCGTCCAACAGCAGCCGCTCTTCAGTATGACATAACAGTGATGATGAACCAATCACAAATTGAACATAGCGCCATTCAAGACGAGAGGCGATGTGCCGCTGCACTGAGACTGGCAGGCATCAGTTAGATTTTCCCGTGGTGTTTCTGGTCCAATCGGAGTTCGCGAGAACTAGCGGCACTGCAGTCAAATGTAGCGCTACTCTCAGTGCACCATCTGCTATGGCAGTGTACCGCGGCAGTCTACCACCTGTTGCTCGTGGCGGCTTTCTTGTTACGATTATCGAACTTAACCATTTATCATGCTTCCAATCAACATTCTCGCGTCACACTTGTTTACTACTTGTGTGGATATGCACAAGGTCGCTTGTCCGCCTTGGCTCAGATCCATTCCTCAATGATTGGCTAAGAATCTACAGTAGACTCATTAAACGAAACCTAAAGGGACCGGGAAAATGCATTCCACGTAACAAAAGTTTTATTTACTAAAAGGTGAAGTGGGTTGCAGTATTGAAGTATGAAACCAATGATATCAGAGGAAGTTGTTCTATTTAGATAGCAGTTCGGTTTAACAGACTTCTGTTTACCGAAAGTCTACTGTATGTCCGACCTATATTTCAGCTGTCCGCATTGTGTTAAGCCTCTTCAAGTGCATGAGGTTCTAAGTGAATGAGCATTTTCAGCGTACTTTTTATGATGACTACTACCATTTTAACCACCGAAGTCTTACACGAAAAACGAACCAAAACCTTTGTAAAAGCCTCAAACAACTTGACTGACTGAATCACACGAAAACACTCGAGAAATACAGTATTTGTGTTCTCTAGTATGTTAACACACTAAAAAAAAATTCTCTCGAAAAAACAGTACCCCTGCTTTTACACTGTTTGCTCTCAATTGATTGCTGTCGCGAAAACTTGTCTGGTAGAGTGCAATATGTTACAGCAACTTAAACTTCTTTCTGGCATTTTTCAACTTTTCAGAAAGATGTCATTCCCGATAATTTTCTAGCAAAAAAAAAAGAAAAAAAAAGGACGTTCTCATCACAGTGTACATCACTCCTCTAGCCATATCGTTCACTGGCAACCACTCCAACTTTCCAAGTACAATCCAAAAAATGTCACCTGCTGTGGGGTTTTCGTCAAAGGCCTCTAAAAAGCTTTGCCAATTGCTTTTAATGTCGAAAGAAGGCCTCTAGGGAATAAATTCCATTTTTCTGCAAATGTACCCACAAATATTGCACACTTGCGGTGGGTTACTTCTCGGTGCACAATCATTAAGAAAAATATCTATTGCTTTAATTTGCTGTAACGAAATGTAACAAAACCTCTGCACTGCTAAAACATGATAATTGTGTTGTTTCATAAAGGCAATATATATTAAAGCAAAAAAAATCCATTGCTCTGAAGGAACTGCAACAGTAGATGATTGAACTGATTATTGATAGTGTTGTTCATTGCCTGTCCTTTCTCTTGCTGTTCTATTTATGGTGGCTTCTTTAAACTAATCACTGAACTTTCGAGGGATGCTGTGCATTTTTGGGGATATTGGTACCTTGGTTATGAACATTTTGGCTTTGATATATGGGGTGGAAATGCTGGGAACAAGCACAGTAGAGTACCAGGTGCGAGCTCCCACTTTCCTTGCGAGACTGAAATGTCCAGCAAAACATGACAGTAGTGCTTTACAATGTCGTCATTCTCAAAGTGAATGTCATAGATAGTGTTTGGCCATGAGCTTTCTATCCTTGCTCTCACCTTTTGAATTGCATCAGATTATTTTGAAGGTTTGCCACGGTAAACATTGGTTTATACCCCAATCAAGAAGAAATTATGGCATGCAAATGATTCACTTCACCAAGCGATATTTGAAACCTCAGCTATAATAACATGGTCTCAACTTGTTTCGCTCGTCCTGTCCCTCTCCTAGGTTGCCTTTGTTGGATGTTACAACTATTTTTCAGTGTGTGCCTTTATCATGCTCTGAAATTATGTTGTCAAATAAACTACTATGTTTTCCCCTATAATAAGGTTTATGCACTGTATATTACTTGAACATGAAAATGTTAACGAGCTCGTTTCACAGAAATTTCGATGTCTACATAAAACGTTGTGAGCTAAAGATCATCATCTTGTCCGTGATCAAAAAAATTAAAAAAAAAAAGATGTCAATAAACCAAACAAAAACTTCAGTATCAGTGAAAATCTAATGCAGACTGTCTGCATAGCAATCAGGTGTTCCACCACAGAGCCATGCCAACAATCGAAACTGATTAGAAAAAAGCAATACGACTCATATAGTACAAGTTCTATAACAAAGAAAATGGGCCCTTTAGATTACACTTTTTTCCTTCACGTAGTGGGAGTCCCTTTAACGCACGCAATATCACGTGGTATAAGCGTAGAATTGCACCAGGCGTCAAAACATATGAAATGCACAAGTGGGTGTTTTAAAGGCCCGCACATTACAGAGCTATTCTCGTGTTCCGTCATGTACGCTGTGGAGATGCTATCACCCCCAGTAAAGTTGTTTGTGCCGCATGGCGCACACATGTTTCACAGATAGGCTGCATTCATGGTTAACAGCTGCAGAGCAATAGGTGTAGCAGTGCTCGAAAGAGTACGCCATTGTAGTCATCATCATGGGCAGTGCCAGCAGCGACGCCTGGCGGCGAGGCTAGGTGGCGGCACATGAGACATGACAAGCTCTCTTTGGCGCGTGACGGCTGACGTGGATGGTCGTCTCCTGACGGGGTCCCGCAGAATGTGGCGACTGCGGGCCGTCTCCCATGGGTCCCTCACGGTGAGTCGAACATTGTTGACACCGCCTTCACGTTACCTTGTGGTTGTTGCTATATTAATTGAGTGTACTGGAATATTGTATAAGATTGTTTTAGCATGTTGATCACTAGTGATGTATTTGATTCAGCTGATGATATCGCTGATGTAAAAGTAGTTCAATAAATGTTTTTGTATAGTTTGCTTGACCCGAGCCAGCTGTGTCCATTTGTTCCAAGAGAATTAGTCATTTTGAGTCCCCACAATGCGTAGAGGGCCCTTTGCTGATTCACAAAAAGAACAATTATGGTGCAGTGGGCACTTGTACTTACAGTAAGCATTCTATGATAGTTTGAAACGACCAGTGTAATATGCACAGTAGTTCATTCTCTTATGGCATGGTTGAGGCACGCACCGAGACCGAAGCCAGGCTAACAACTGAGAAGGCAACTCGCACAGAGCCCAATTATGCTATAGAGTCGAGCCCACATATAACGTCCCCACTTAAAACGAACAATATCCGCATGACCATGAAAATATACATTGGTTCAAAGGCACAAAACCGCATTTACAACGAACGTCTCCAAACGCCGCTGATCGGTCCCAGCAAACGGAGTCAGCGGTCTGCCGACTTCCCGGGAAACCAATTTCGACCAATCGATCAGGCATCGGCGAGGTGCCCACACATTCTTATTGTTAAATGCCGACCCTGCCTCCGCGACCCTCTAGTTGCCGCTCTCCCCAACCCATGGAGGAAGGAAAGCTGTTCCTTCCTCCATGCCCCGACTGCTTTTTGTTACGCACCCCTCTGTCCTTTGTCTCCCCGCTACTCTGAGCACCTCGCATCGCCAGACGAGGCCCGTGTTTTTACACTGCCACCGTTTTACACTGCCACCGATCTTTCGAAGACCGGTCGGCCATCTACCCTGTCTTTGATCGCTGGTACTGTCGTTGGTGTCGCCAGCCTGGAGTGACCAGACCATTTTCCAACATCATCAGCCACCAACTGTATCCGATAGTCTGCGACTAGTGAACGCGCATACGCTACCCCACCGACTGATAATTTGCGATTAGTTTTGTGTTTAGGAATTGTTCTCGCTCACTTCGCACTCTGCTCAGCATGCCTTCCGCGGGCGTGCGGAAGCGCAAAAACGGCTGTTAATTTGCGCGGAGCGAATCTCGAAATATCGAAGTTCGTGATGCCACGCGAGCCCGCCGGCACAACAAAACAATTTTTCAACCACAGCCACCGATTCTTCGAACACCGCCGCGCACACAGATCCAGGCGGCCATGCTTTGACTTCTGCGCGCACAGGCACTCTTTACAAGTTTTCCTACGTGCGAGTTTCGCAGACCTTTGAAGCAAGCTACCCAACCTGCCTCCTTCCCGTGTGTTTTGGTTTTCAAGGTCGCCCTCCCGCCGCATCCTCTCCTCTCTTTATTGCAACTCCTTGCCCTTCTCTTGCAAGTCTGCTCTTCTTTCTTGATCCCAACCCCTTCGCCCATCTCCACCGCTCCGCGACGCCCGCCACGCTGACTCGAATTAGTTTCGTTTTCTGACTGGAAGCAGGCCCAGAGCTGTTCCACGCGTTCTGGCATGTGTGCCACGTGTGCGCTTCTTGCTCGCTCTTGGTGTGCATGTGTGGTCATGATGGCCAACGGGAGAACTAGCACGCTTTTTCCTGCCGCTCAACAAAACGTCCAAAGTGTGACCGCTTGGCTTGAGTGTAATCCGCGCGTTAGGTGCCACGTTGCGCAGCGCTTGCTAGCTTGCCGTGAGGTTGCAATGAGGTTGCGTGAGGTTGCGTGAGGTTGCAATGAGCGCTTGCAATGAGGTTCAATTTCATTGCTCCGCAGAAGTACTGGCGGCCAATTTTTCAAAGCGGCAACGGCCTGTTCGCAGGAAGGTAAAGAATTCTCTCATCAGACTCGACCGCTGTCTTCAGGAATTAAAACATTAATTAATGTTAAATACTACCACAATCACGGTGTCTAGTGATTTCGAGAATTATGACGTCGTTCCGGGAGCCACATAAAACTGCCCTGAGAGCCACGAGTGGCCTGTGGGCCACAGGTTGCGGAACCCTGAGATAGACGGTTTGGTGCAGTTGGCACAATTTACGTTGATTTCATCAGATTGGCGCAGCAAATCTCGTTTGGCGCACTTTGACACAGAAGTGGGATCCCTGCATTCTAGTCACACATAACATAGTGGTCAATAAATGCAAGTTATAATGCAATTTGGATATGGCAGCACAAGCTCAAACAATGTGCCATTGCCATGGCCACATTTTGTTTTTCATTACACAGTTAAGCACCTTTATAAAAAGCATCCTCTGGGCAGCAATGTCTTCTATATGAGATGTCGTACAATGAAGGTACTTCATAAGCATTTTTTTATCAACCCGTATTTTACTGTAGGCACACTGGTGTCTCTTATAACCATTTGTTTCTTATATACCAGTGCCTCTAAGAGGTTTGACTGTACTCGTAAAAGCACGGACACCACAACATTATGTTTATTCCCTTCTAGAATAAAATATACATATAGCCAAAAAGAAAGAAAACAAAATCCTACGTTTGGTTTCTGCATAAAAGTAAAGATCCATAAACAATGAACAATGCAATAAAGATGCCCAAAAGAAGCAGTGCAACTGAAGTGGTGCTGATGCTACAACTACTATATTAAAAAGTGGACACAATGCCTGCCATTATTTCTGGAAGAATTTCACATTACACCCCTATCAGCAATAAACAATATCAGCAGCTCTGATTTGAAGACCTTATTTTGTACATGAATTATGTATTTCACTTTACTTAAAAATTGGCAAATGGCTCTGCTAAAAGTAAAAGTGAAACATGTAACTACTGTGCACAAACATAATAAAGTTACTGACATTTTAAGAGCGACATAACAAAAAGCTTACCAGGTACAGGTTCACTCTGCACACGTTTGAGACACGCGATCCCAAAAAGCTGGACCATCCAGCAGGAATACATCGACAGGTAGTCCAAGAAGACACAGCCAACTACCTAGAAATGACCACAGCTGTCAGATTTCTGTTTGTTCCCAGCTTTTGGATTTATAAATAATGAAACATCCTAAATATTGAGGAAAAAGAACTTATTCAATACTTGCAGAAAAAATCATAGATGTCATAATTTAATGACACCACTGGTAAATTGATATATATATACACAGAGCTAGCCAAGTTAACACATCAGTAACTTTAACAAGAAGACAATGTTAGCAACATATGCTCTAGCTAACTTGTACCAAGGGTTCAAAAATGCATTAAAGATAGGCGAGTGAAATCAGTAGCATATTGCTGACAGCCATCTTGCACAACACAAAATTTTATTGTAAATAATTAAATTGTGTTTATTTAAATAAATTGATAAATATTGACTGCATGCAAAAAGTGGGATTCGCAAAACTTAACTTCAGAAACCCCCACAGACTAATTACCCCCCTCCCCAATAAAGGAAGTACCACACGTACCATTTTTTCAAAGCTGCGAGGAAAGCATGTAAATAAAAAAAAAACACATAACTAGCACTTTTTCGCGTCATGATCGTGCTGCTTTCAACCATGGTTTGAGTGAAAAAAATCAGATGCGGCCGCGACTCCGTTGCAGCGGTAAGCCGATAAGTTGGTGGTGGTTTCTTGACCCATGCTTGCTGTAACTTGCACCTTCATGTGCTCCAATTGGCTGACATGGGCCACAAAACCACCGCCAACTTATTGGCCCACTGCTGCAATGAAGCTGTCGAGTCATGGCTCCAGGTGGTTTTGTTTTCTCAAACCACGATTGAGAGTAGCATGAGAATCGTGACATAAGAATGCGTTAGTCAATTTTTTTTATTTTGCAGGATTTTTTTGCAGCTTGGAAAGAATGGTACACAGGAGTTTTTATTTATTGCAAATATTGCTATAGTGGTTTCTGAAGAGGTTCTCAAACTTTGCAAATACAGTTGCTTGCCTAAAGTCAATATTTAGTAATATAGGCAAATATTACTTATTAACAAATTATTACTCAACAAAAAAAATTGTCCAGGGCGCAAGGTGGCTGTAGGCAATACACGTCTGATTTCACTCACCTGCCTCTAATATTGCATTTAAATATTGGCACAAGTTAGTGGTGACACCCGGTAAATGCTGCTTGCACACATGGTGTACACATTTCCAGTGAACACAAGATTTATGGACAAGTAATGTAATCAAATACATATTCAACAACGTCTTTTCTTTATGGATCGCAGTATACACTTATAAGTTTGAAGGCAACTATAGGGAAGGCTGAGGGTTCGAATCACGTCCGGGTCACCACGTAATAGCAACTAAGGTTAGGGCTACTATAACATTGTGCGTGGCAGATAGTGAAAAACCAGGGGACACTGGAGCAGTGGCAGTTTATTTTCTTTTTCTAACCTCACTACATGCCGCACGTGTAACAAGGCACATAAGCACGCACGTGCCTGGGTGCACCATAATAGGTGGCTGATGATGATGACTGCTAGAGCAACCATATTAAACAGCACCATTATGCCAGATATTGTTAGAGTGGTGATACGTGCCATGCTAAGAGATGCTCGTTAGCCAAATTGGCGTAAGTACCCAAATTTCCCATTAAAAAGTAGAACTCTCAACACAGACAAAACACCAAATCACATAAGTCATTGTATAAAAAAGAAGCCAGAATTCTAGTTTGCTAAGCACCTTCAGCATTCTTCATTGGCATAAAATCCAGTAGTACTGTTGAACTGATACAACAAACACCAACATAATGAGTTACCAGCTAGTTGATTGGAGCCAATATTAGCAAGTAACAAAGTATATGCCTACAGTTAAACCTGCCTATAAAAAACCTACACATAACGAATTCCTCGATATCAGCAGGTTCTTCATTCCCCACCATTGCTCCATAGAAGCACATGTATTTGCGACCTCTATATAACAAAGTAACAACAGTAGACAACTTTGATATAACGAATTTTCCCCATAGGCAATCTAAGAAATTTGCTCTGCATTTTGGCATTTTGGTATGAGCAGGCATTCATATTCCGCGGCTGCCCCTCTGCCGACGAAGCGCGAAGTGGCGGCACCGCACATGATGCACCAGGCGAGAGCGAGCGTTCATTATGGCGCGCAGGTGAGCGTAAGGCGGGCAGAAGGGCCTGCACCCCATGAACCTGCGTTGCCGCCATTCTCACTGCTGCGGGTGCATCCCACCCCACTCCAAACAAACAAACCAAAAAACTGCTTTTGCGCGTTGGCAGTGGCCCGCTTTTTGGTTAGTGTCACATATGTGGAGCTGCGATGCATATGGAGGATGCTTCACCGAGTAGCTTTCCGCAAATCCGTGTTTGTATCCGTGTCGTTTGCTCTTCTTTTTTGACACCGTGCGCACGTGCATAATCTGACTGCGCGCACATGGTGCGGCCCCAGACAACATTCAGCTTTTTGCTTTTTTCAGTTCAGTTTGCTTTTTTTTATTGTGATAGCAACTATATTGCCACAGGCATGGAACGAGCTTTAGCCATGCCAATACGAGTATGTGCCATGGTGTGGTAAAAAGAAGAGGACTGTTGGTGTGCTCGTGCTCTAATGTTCGGTTCGGCTCGACGTCCAGGGCTGCTCCTGTGACCCGACGAAGCTCGTGCGCAGTATTGTGCGCGAGGAGCTGCAAAAGCTGCACGTGGTGTCTTCTCCGCCCCATGTTGCTACTCTAACGGATGTCGTCCGCGAAGAGGTCCGGCAGCTGGTGCACCCCATGACGACTCTGCGTGCAGCCGAGGTCCAACCCATGACGGCCCCGCATCCAGCCGAAGCTCCGCTATTAACGTACGCAGAAGCAGTACGTACTCCTGCACCAGCTGTTGGCTATCTGTCCCGTCCCTCCACCCTGCAGATGGCGCCGTCACTCTACTCAGGAACACCGCAGTATGGCAACCCACCCCTTACACGGAAATCCAGTGTATGGCGTGCTCCCGACTACCGGCCTCTATGTTATCACTGTGGTGAACCAGTCACGTCTACCATGAGTGCGCATACAGGCACATGGGTCTTCCTGGCTTTCGTCCGGATGCTTGTCGACCCAGATGATGAGCGGCCCCGTGCTATCGCCGAATACTTGGCAAGCCAGCGATCCTCAACCCTTCCGCGTCGCCGATCCCGCTCACCGTCTCCACGGCGTTCCACGTCACCTGGCCAACAATCCACCTTTGTGGACGTCCTTGCACGAAGATCGCCTAGATCCACAAGCCCGCGCCGGGGAAACTAAGAACAGCGACCTCTGGGGGTGAGGCCGCTGTTGATCGACCGTTACAAGACCCTCCCCCGATCTGCCTGCCGACATCAGATGACATCCTTTCACTGACGTGTGCCATCGATGACAAACATGTCTCTGCTCGCATCTCTGCCCTTGTTGACAACCACCCGCTGACCGCTCTGGTAGATACGGGTGCCGATTATTCCGTTATAAGCGCTGACCTCGCTGCACAGCCAAGAAAGGTAACGACACCTTGGGGACATAGAACCAACCTCCGGACTGTGGGAAGTCACCTATTGACACCGCTGGGAATATGCACTGCCCGCCTCCGAATTCGTGAGTTGACATACATTGTTTCCTTCGTTGCATTGCGCGAATGCTCCCAAAACTTAATTCTCGGAATGGATTTTCTCCGTAAGCATGGAGCCATTATTAACCTTCGCGACCTGCTCATAACGTTATCTAACGACCATACAGCCCTACAAAAGGATGCAGTTGTGCAGACCACAACACTTCGAATTCCTGACGACACCATCGCACTTCCGCCGCGAGCCAGTATGTTGGTAACTGTGGAGAGCGACTGTGACAAAAAGAATAGTGGCATCGCGGAAACTAACCTCTCGGTGCTATTGGCTCGGCAGATTTGTGTCGCACGCGCTATTGTCCAACTGAAACATCAGAGGACTAAGCTTCTGATCACGAATTTCGGCGGCAAGTACCAACACTTGGCAAAGCAAACAGCGATTGCAAACTTTGAAGCCATTTATGACAAAGAATGTTCCACTATCCCTCCGATTGCCACTGCTGCTGAAGGTGACACTACATTAACCAGTACAGTTGACATGAATTGCCAGCTATCCTCTGCACAGCAGCAGCAGATACGCATGATTTTACGTACGTATGGTGACTGCTTTGCGTCCACCTCCAAAATTAAGCAGACCACAACCGTGGAGCACCACATTATAACGCACCTTACCGAACGGCCTATACGACAGCACGCCTACCGCGTGTCGCAAAAAGAACAAGAGACGATACGTTTTCAAGTGAAACAGATGCTCGACGACGACGTCATCCAACCCTCGAACAGTCCATGGGCGTCACCCGTCGTACTTGTTAAATAGAAAGACGGCACTCTTCGATTTTGCGTCGATTACTGGAAGCTCCACAAAGTGACGAAGAGATACGTCTACCCTCTCCCACGCATAGATGATTCTCTTAATCGACTTCGACATGCCCAATATTTTTCATCAATGGAGTTACGCAGCGGCTACTGGCAGATCGAGGTCGATGAACGCGACAGGGAAAAAACAGCATTCATAACTTCCGATGACCTCTACGAATTCAAAGCGTTATCATTTGGATTGTGCTCTGCACCGGCAACTTTCCAAAGGATGATGGACACTGTCCTGTCCAGTCTGAAGTGGGAATCCTGCCTCGTGTATTTAGACGACGTCGTTTTTTCCAAAACATTTGAGCAACATTTACAACGACTTCAGTCCGTCTTCGTCGCTATTCGATTCGCAGGCCTATCGCTAAAATCGGAGAAGTGTCATTTCGGCTACGAAGAACTAAAGTTCCTCGGCCACCTTGTCAGTCACGATGGCATTCGACCAGACCCAGAAAAGACCATGGTCGTTGCTGCATTTCCTCCACCTTTGAACAAACAGGATTAGCGCTGGTTTTTGGGTCTCTGCGCCTATTACAGGCGCTTTGTCCAGAGTTTTGCCAACATCGCTGAACCCCTTACCCGCTTAACGAAGG